CTAAAAGTTGTTTTGGGTGCTAAGGTCGATGCTCGGGTTTATGAATTTGGTCAACCAGATCGACCCATTTGGTTAGGTTGTTCGACCAAAACCCAGGGTCGTGTAAAACCAACTATTTAACGTAATCAGGTGTAGCGATCGGTCACAAGTTCGATTCTCAGTGGCGCCAATTTTTGTGTTCCTTTTTCAAATTCAGGATAGTTTCTGTGCTATGCGGGATATGATATTGCAGATCCATAGAGAGTGCATGATTTGGGGAAAGATGAAGGAAAGTGTTTTAAAAAATTAGACCCAAACTGTAAATCTCATTACCTTAGTTGAAAAACAAAATAATAAATTACTACGTTTTCGGTTAATTTAATTATCTTGCATTATTATAATCAAAATATAATTTAATTAGAGAAGCGACAACACAGAACCTAATGACTTTTTATTTTTAATAGCTAAAACAAGATAAGGATGGAGGTGGGGTATTAGTATGATTGGTGATAGATATTAACTATCAGTTGTAAAAGTTAGCCTAAAATTTATAGATAAAATGGCAAGCGAAAAATAATTCCCGAGAAAAACCCCCTCAATTTTTTTTCTAAGAAGGGGGAAAGGTTATTTTTGACCGCTCCAAAAAAAATGGTCATTACATTAGTCCGAACTAATTTTAGCCTATAGAACTTGATTCCATTTGGTTTCTAAACTCCGGAATGTAGCCAACCACGCTTGACAATTTTTTTGAATTAGCGTACTCCCGTACTTTTTGTTATATTTTTCGAAAAATTAGTGATTATATTTATTAATTATCTTATATTTCGTTTTATCCAATATAATTTTATTGATTATTTATTTTAGATAACACACACCCACTTATTTTTTTTACACAATGATCACAGCAAAAAAAATAGATATATATAATTAAATTTTAATCTAAAAAAATAGCGAATTCATGCAAGGGTTTAATTAATTCATAATAATTTCGCAAATTCTTTTATAGGTGAAAATTATTTTATATACCTTTATGATAAAAAAAATTTTTAAACTTTCGGGCTATTACTTCTGCCAATTGGCAGATTCAAAATAAAATCAATTTTTTAACAAAAAATCATGTAAAATTTTTGTAAATATAGATAATCAAGAGGGGGGGAGGGAGTAGAGAAAGAGAAGTTTATTTATCAAGGCGGCTCACCCCCCCCCCTCCCTATCCAAAATTTTTTATTTCGCCTCAAAAGAAAAAAATACAAATTATTTCTTTTCTGCTGTGTATTTTGTGTTATAGACCTTAAAATTAAAAGAAAAATTGCCCAAAATATAAATTAACTCCTAAGTTCAGCATGGAATTTTATGCTTGAACCTCCACCCAAATTTTAGGTTTAGGTACGCGCCCGATTACCAATTTTAAATTTAAAGAACATAAATAGAATCATTTTTATGAAGTTAAATATGGAAAAATCCTTATAATTGCGTTATCCCTTTATTATAGAGATAATTCAAAATTATTATTTATGCTTGAATTTATTTAACATTTAGGCCAAGGCTTCATTTCTGGCTGGCTGGGAGAGCTCTAGGTTGAGTTTCCGCTCAAATATAAATAATCGTCCAAATTTGTGATATTTTTATATTTACAAGTTTTCAAAGGAAAAATGTAAATTGCTTTTATATTTTAAAAAAAATTTTATATATCCTTATGATACCGCCCTAAATGTAATAAAATGTTTCTTTTTTTAAATTTAAATTTTGCTTTTTATAATTTTTTTATGTTCATTCTTCTTCGGCAATTAAAATCGAAAATAAATTGATTTGAACTTCAATGTAGAATGTAACTAGAATTTGTTAAAAATTGAAACTTAAATCGGCATTCCTAATCGTTTAAGCCTAAATCACAAACTGATTTGCTTTTTGTAAGGAATAATATATTAAGATGCTGTGTACGAAGATTTTGTTGGACAGTTATATCATAATTAGTCATTGCTTAATAATACGAGAACAAGAAACTCTTAATATTTACATTAGTAAAATGAAATCAGCTGCTAAAAAAAAAATATTATGTTAATATAATAATTAGACCTGAAATAAGTTTATTATAAGAATTAATGAAGAATTTTATTGCAAAATAAGTAAATCATTTTCATTCAATATCGTGAATGATAATTTGAAATAAGGGTTAATATTTAATTGAAAATGAATCCCTGTCGAGATAATTTTTATTACTATAATGTATAATCATTATTAATTACGCGGATATTAAACTATTCACTTAATAAAATGTAAAAAGAATGGGAAAAGCGAAAATAAGATGAATAAGAAAAAATAATAAAGTCATAATCTGTAAAATCCGATATTCTTTTGATTGCATGTGCATTAACAGTCAAACAGAGTTGTTAGCTCTTAAAAAGGGAATATATACTTATCACAAAATGTATTTTGGTGAGATAGAGACAAGGTTTCAAAGTATCATGATATATTAAAAACTCCGCTGGCTACCGCCATAATGTAATGATTTTAAATTAAGGATATCATCGTAATGTAATGACGTTTAAATTAAATTCCTATTTTTAAATATTGAAATATAATACGTCACTACAAATTTAAATTTAAGTGGCGATGGGACAACATAACATTTATAAAAATCGAAATCTCATACTTATAAATTTTACGGAGTAAGGTATAGTTAATCTCATTTTTATTCAATATAAATAGGTCCCAAGATTTGCACATTTTTTTTGTATGAGCATCTATAGTACTATTTATTTACAGATACCAAATCAATTTTTGGATTTCATTTTTTATCTTAAAATATTATTATAATCAGGAAATATTTTTTAATAATCTCTCTAAATGGAGCCTTTCTGAATCCGTAAAAGAAACCCGGAATTGACCGCACTGTGGTGGGCATAGATCAAAATGTCCTACATTCGTTTCTCTCTCACGTCTTTAAATTAAATCATCATTATTAACTACTCTAATGCTTGCACCAATTTTTTTATATAATTTAAATTCGATTCTCTTTAAAATATATTGTTATAGTGTGGAAACGAAAGAAAATATCCTTTGTTTCCCTCATAATTTGATTTTTTTTTAAAATAAACAATTTTTTATTTACCCATCTTAATTTGTTATTTTAAAAATATTTATGTTTCTTTAATATTTACTATCGTCATAGCCACACCCTCGAGAAATAAATAAATTTTGTTTTTAAAAAAATGTAAAGTAAGCAAAATTTGTAAAAGAATTCACCTAAAATTTTAATAAATTCTATTTGAAAGGGGGGAGAGGGGTTAACTAAATTCTAAAATTTGTTTTTTTTAAATGTTTTCGTTTAATCCAAAAATATGGATATTGCTCAAATTCAAATGTAATTGTCTAATTTCATTCTCATTTTTTACAAGTGAGACTTCAATTTTCTTAAATTTGGGCAGTAAAAAACTAGAAATAAAAAAAAACATGTTTTTTTTACTAAAATCCTTATATGAAAAATTTGCATCACAATCATCTTAAAATAGTCTTAATCTCTATTGCAAATAAAACAATCTCACCATCTCAATCATTATATACCTAACTCCTCATTGTGTAAAATTAAACTTAATATTAAAAATTAACTTTTTTATAATAAAATTAATTTTTATACATTTAGTTATTGAGTGTTGTTAATTTAGTCTGTTCTACCCTCCTCCCCATGTTTAACATTTAATATTTTTTTCATTATATCCTTAAGGTGAGGTTATTTTAGAGGTATAAGTATTGATACATTTTGCATATATCCTGGTATATAACCTTGATTACATCTTTCACTTCTTTTAATTCCTGAGATAACCACCAATCTCTCCAAACATTCTGAATGTTTAAATTTATAACAACTTCTGGTTAATCATTCTTGATTACATTTAAAACTACCTTTATATTACTTTCCAAGTCCAATATTATTTTCAAATAATTATCTGATGCCACAGCATCTTTCTTCAATTCACTCGATACCTTAGTCAATACATAGGTATTTTAATTTCTTTTACATTTATTTATCAAATTTTTTAACACTATGAAAATTAAATATATTACTAAAAATAACAAAATCTAATATATAATCTCTATAATCAAAACATGATAGTATCATATCATCTTAACATATTAAAATTTAAGACTATATAGTGTAATGGAGTTTGAAACTGGATATTCTATGTTGATACCTAGTACTTAAATTTATATATACTCCTCGGAATCAAAGACCCAAATCTTATACAGATGGGTGCCATAGCTAAAAATTGGGATAAATGGATGATTAACTGCAAAACTATTCATAAATAGATCTAAAAGAATAAATCTGACTTAAATTAGTATAAAAAGTAAAACCCAATGAGAATTGATAAATTCATTGATTGAAAATAGGCATTCATGTACCAGTGGAATGGTATTACATCCAAATGAAACTCATTGCTCAAAACAAATAATTCTATTAGTACTTGCAGATTTTAATTTTAGAAGGCATATATCTTAAAAATCTTTATCTAATATTGTCATTTTTGAATTATTTTTAAAAATAATATTTTTTATTAAAGGATTATTTTATTACGTTTTTTATATAAATTAAATTTTTTGGACACAGGTCAAATAAACAATTGTTTTCAATTGAAAATCATCTTTTTGAATTCATTGATGAAATTTTTTTTAAAAAACACACATTACAAATGATACAAATAAAAAATTGTACAACTAATAGACTAGAAGATGCTATAATTTGCCATGAGAAATTTTATCAGCTTGTTTGAAAACACATGATTTTATCTTATTTATAAATTTGATGGGAAAATGTCAGATAGAACTATAGACTAAACATGCATTAAGTTTTAAATATTTTTTTATCTTTCCCTTCTACTTTATTTTTTAAATTAACATTTTAATTTTTGAACTAGGTGATTTCTAAAGAAAAATATGACTTTATTTTTCCATATCTTCAAATATGGATTGTATATAAAATTATATTCCAAATAATATAAATATAATAAATAAAAGTTGCTTAATTATAAATAATATATATATTTCAAATATAATATATCATCTTATAGATAAATTTTTAAAAAAATATACCACAAATTATCTCATATCCTAAATGAAAAGAAAAAAACCCAAAAATTTAAAGTTTTAAAAAAAAATAATTTTCATTTCAGCAATTGCTTTAGCATTTCAAGTTCATGGGCTAGGCAGTTGACCTTGTTTTTGAGGCAGCGGTTATCAGTTATCAGATCCCTTTCTTCATGCACTAAATTTTGACTTTCTTCCTTTTTCTTAAGCCTGTACTTAGCAGCTGCAAACTTGTTTTGTATTTTCTTTTTTAGTTTGGGACTGTTGATTTCACCAAGAATATTATTAAAGTTCTTGGATGATTTGGAAGAAACTTCACTAGCCAAGCTTTCAGTATAAGATAAAGATGGGCTGAACGAACTTTGGTTGTTATAGGATGAATGAATTGATCGGGTAGGCCGAGAAGAAACATTGCTGAGAGATGGCTGCTCATTTAGAGAAGCATTAGCCAAATTTTTTATAACGGAATTGGGTACACTCTCGTGGTTACCATTATGAAAATAGCTAAGTGGCATTGTACATGGGTATTTTGTATCATTGTTACATGTGTATGATAAAGGGTCTTGATTTTGGCTCATAGAAATATGTGAATATGGGCATGAATGATGATTAGGTATTATTGTTGTAACAACTGGTTCTTCATTCTGCTCTATGTCATCCCCTAGATATTCATCCAAAAAATTTGAAAATTTTGGAGTTGCCAAATCATTTAATTGGCAATTGTTATCCAGTTCCAAGTCAAATATTAGATTGTCATTGTCAATAGGAAGCATTTGTTCATATGCATTGCCAGTGGTGATAGATTCATGTTTAGATGTGGAGTAGGAAATCCCTACTGTAATAAGATCTATAAATGGATCTCTTAACTTTGAGAGCAGTGAAGTATCACCAATAAAGGTATCAAATTCATCAATATTATGATCATCTATGTCATTGCCAGGATAGGAAGTTTTAGCATATGATGAATTGATAGACAATGGTGAGGGCACTGTAAATTTTGAACTTGCCTTATCAGAAGTTGTGAAAGAATGAGTAAAATAGTTATCCAATGAATTGACAGATGGGCCAGGAGATGGATAATCATAAATGAAGGATCCATTAGGTTGACTATTGTTGTAGTAATGTTCATTTGTAACTTTTAAATTATCAGGAATATGTGAATTAGAGGTACTATCATTTTTGCAATTTGTTGGATTAATGGAAGCTGGATCAATATCAGTTTGAATCTCTAAGTAAGATAAAGGCGGAGAAGGTATATAATCAGAATAGTTGCCATAGAATTTATTAATTTGTTTAAAATGTGACAAATTTAAGTTGCTAAAAATAGATAATATATTATTGTTTGTGCTTGAATTATCCATTCCTAGATTGATATCATGTGGAATAAAATTGTCAATTGAATTTTCTATTTAAACAGATAAAAAAAATATTATAATTAATTTTAAAAAAATATTTTAAAATTTACCTAGTAATATGTTGTCCTCAGGTAATTTGTCAAATAAAAATATATCATTAAATTTTATATAATCATTGGTTGCAGGCAAATTTGGGAGATTAGATTTCAAGTCATAATCTCCGTCACCTAACTCCATATCTTTTAACACCATGTCCGTATTGTCCATCCATAAGTTTATTTTTGAGTAATATATATCTCCAGTCATTAAAAGGGCGGGTAAAAGTTATTATTTTTTCCATAATTTGTTAGTTAGAACCCTATATAAATCAATAAATACATATAGCTTTATTTTTCATTACTTGAATCAGGAATTCAAGTTAATAGATATATTTTATAAGGATCATATTGATATTAATTTCTTAGTATATTAGGTAAAAAAGTTAAAAAATGATGTTAAGCAAAATAAAAACTCGGTTTTTATAATTTGCTATTAAAGATTCGTTTTAATAATATCACTAAGAATCATTAATATATATATATTAATGGTCCTATATTAAGGAGTACATTATTATTTTTTATATTTATTTTTTTTAATAATCAATGAAAGTTGGATAATAATATAAAATAGTATATACCGGATAAAAGCTTAACCATATTATTTCTCAATAACTGAATTAGAATTATATAAGCAACTTTTTTGCATCGACATTTAATATTCAACTATATTTATTTTAAATAAAGATGGATATTTTTAAATGGTTATATGTTTTAGTACTATATTGTACTGTTATATAAAAAACATTAATTTTAATTGTTTTGATTAGCGTAGTAAAACAATATAAAATAGACGAATAAATTCTCTAAATATCCTCCATCGCTTCCTGCTAACTATACATACCTACATCTAATCGTCACGAGTCTAACATCGTTCTACTATTATGGCCTGGCCTTGCTATATAATGGATCTCTGCTAGGATCGAGGATCCCAACGAGTGATTCTACCTAAGTCAAAGGTTAGTCCTATACATAATAAAATTCAATTATCTCAGTTTTATACTCTCAATGACCTAAAACTTTTTGAACATTCTATGCATAAGAGAAGGCTATTTTGCTCCCAATTACAGCGTTGACATTAAAAGGGAACTTGGATCTCAATCAATAAAAGACAGCAAAAATTAATGACTTTATATAGGATTTACTATTTTTTTTTTCAATAATTGTGATTATAACTTATTTTGTAATTTTATAATTATTTTTGACTTTATACTAAGCTTTTCTATTAATTGAATAGTTAATTAATTAAAAAATTAAATCTTCTAAGATATTTAGTTCTAAAACTATTTTATAAAGGACCTGAATTTGCATAAATATATACAGCGTCTACATGAGCGGGAGGGGTAGGAAGAGTTTGCATCATATTTTTTTGAGATGGTAGGGGGTAAGCTGCTTTAATGGGGGTAGGATAAATTTTTTGGGAGGTTATCTATTAAATTTTGAAATGAAATAGGACAAAATTTATTGCTGTAAAAATTAATACTTTTATTATAGTATTATTATAATACAATTCATCGACCAAATCTATATATTGCAAACAATCATACACATTGTTTTCCAAATAAACTATCCTTTTAAATGTAATTTAAAAGGTTTAGATATATCAGCAAGCTCATAATGCCATAATAATTAATTCATTGTAAATAATGGAGGTTTTAAATCTAAATAAATTCTTTATATTCACAAAATATCGATAGTTGGTAGTAGAGATAGATTAATTTAAGTTATCCTTTATAAATTATTTGAAAAGAGTATCAATAAATAAATAGGTGAAAATAATGGTAAAAAGACACCGCCGCCGAAGACGGCGCAAATTTTTTAGGGGGATAGGCAAAGGTTTTTGAGGGGGATTGCATCCAGTGAAAATCCTGTCATGTAGACGCTGAATATATATATATAGAAAGTTTATTATATGTCATGGAGTTGAGTATTAGTTTGATTCCACATTTATGTTATATACTATTTTCTAGCCCCACTAGGGGATGGGGCTCGAGCTCCCTCAATTAAAGAGCTCCCTAAAAATTTTGACATTTTTTTAATACCCTAAAAAAGATCATTTTGAAAATGTCAGCTTAAAAAAGTATGGAAATACTTATTGAAATTTTTTGAGCCCCCTGGGGAGTACACGTATTAAAAATAAATTTTAGTAGATGATATAAATATTTGGAAGCATGCATGGCTTAAGTCTACTAAAGGGAAGTTTGGAGCTAAATCTCCCATAAATTATATATAGAGTAAGATCTATACACTTCTTTAAAAATAAATTAACATACAATTTTATAAAAACGACCGTTTCTATTAATATACATTCCAAAAAACTATATAAAATATATATTATATTATGGCATTTGATAGACGTAAATAAATATTAAAGTAATTTTCAAAAAAAATATTATGATCAGTTTATTTAGTTTAATGATAAATAAAAATTAGTTTACTTGCTAATCAACGTCCAAAAGTTATTAAAATGCAATAAGACCTATTTATTTTATTTTTAACAAATATTAGCTAAATAATGTGATTGACTCCGATCTGCTATGTATCAATCCCCCCCTCCCCGGAACAACCTAGTTGGCTATAGAAAAAAATATGCTCCTTGCTGGATTCGAACGAATTCAGAACTATGTGATTGTTTGACACCCACTAAACCGAATAAGGGACAGACACTACTCGAAAGTATCAAATTCTTTTATATATAAAGATAAAATTATAACGCTATACAATATTTTAATAAATATAATCTTTACCCGTTTATTTAGGTTAAAATTAGTGATTGGCAAAATAAGGCACAAAATATTCCAACGGAAAACTAAAAATTAAAGAAATCGAAATTGGCAAAAATAGGTTAAATCAAATCAAAATTAATAGGCACATTAATGAAAATAAAGAGAAATGAAGATATAATTAATATAAATCAGAGACCTAAGATTATAATGCACCGCCTGGCCCTTTATAAAAATATATTTCACCCTGATTTCTTTAAAATAATAATTCGGTCAGGGTTAAATTTTTCTACGGCCTTGAATTTAAAAAAAATAAATAATATACCTGTTGTAACATTATATATTTTTTTATGTTTATTTTTGGGATTATTGATTTTTTATGTAATGTTGTCGAAAATATTAATATTTTATGTTTTTAAAAAAAGATATATATTCTTTTACTAAAAAGATTTCGAAAATTGTAATTTTTTGGGGATTTGAAATTATTATATATAAAAAGATTTCGAAAATATAATTATTATTTTTGTGAGAAAATTTTAAAATAAAAGAATAAAAAATTGTTTTGCGTAATAATTTGTGTTTAGTTAACTGTTTCATGAGGTTCTCATATCAGTAGTCACAATAATTTTACTGTTTCCTCAAATTCTCATATCATTAATCGCAATAATACCTATTCGGGGGATCATCTTAAAGCGAATAGAAAATACAAATATAATAACTTTTCAAATTACCTATCTCCATATTTGTCTTAAATGGAGTTATTTTAAATTACCACACTTTCAATTCGACCATGATGGTAATTCCCTTATTTATTGTTCCTCTTGTAATTTAATGAGGGACTTTTTGGATATTCTGATTAGTCTATTTTAAAAATAAAAAGGTTTGCACTATAGTCTTGGTTTAATCCACATTTTTTCAGGTGGGTACACTGAAAATTACTATAATATTGATTGAGTTATTATTTTAATTAGGATTTAGATTCGACTATTAAGTGTTTAATTTGATATAAAAATATAATATGCTAGTTTCAGTTGATTTTAAATGTTGCATAAAAGTCATTTCATTGGCCAATGTATTATAAAAATTTCCATTTTTGGTAACTCTTGTCATCTGGTTTTATATATTAATTCAGATGAATTTAGTAGGTAAGGTCATGCAAAGTGACAATATTGAATTAGGAAGAACCATTACACTTATAGGAAGTTAGCAAGATTTTTTAGATCGCTTTAAGGAAAACGTCTTTCAGGATTTCCTTGCTCAGCGAAAGAACTTGCGCAGAAATTGGAAATGAGTTTAGAAGAGCAGTGTTTTTCTTCAATAACATTAATTCTTAGAATGAAAGTTCAAAACAATTTACATACGAAGGAGGTGACACAATGTTACTAGATCAAGTGAAAAATTTCTTGGAATGTTTGGATCGATATTCAATATGACAGAATAGATAAATGAGCCTGAAAGCGAGCTTAAAAATCTTGTCAATTATTTATTTAACATATCAGGATATCTTAGAATGCGATAATAATCCACAAGATCTACTAATTAAATTAAAAACTCCATTAGAAATTTTACGCTATTAACAGTAATCGAATAAATGAAGCTTTACCAAATATATCCAATGTAATAAAGATTATTTTAATCATTCCAATTACCGTGGCATTCGCAAAGCTCAAATTAATTAAAACGTATCTATGATTCTGTATGGCACAGGACCGAATAGTTAATCACCCTTTAATTTCGATAGGAAATGCTATCAATTCATCATTAGATTAAACTAACATAATATCCTCTTTTAAAAACAAAAAGTTGAGGGGGATAAATAAAATAGCAATATTTTAGTCGAAGATTATATTCATTTTTTATAATGTGCGTTACTCATTTATGATTAAAATTTAATAAAGTATATGTACTTTTAGTTCATTGCGATAAGTTATCAAATATTAGGTAAATCGTGTTTTTTAAGGGGCCGCTAAATTATTATTGCCCTAGGTCGCCAAAAGTCTTGGCACGGCGCTGCTTGAACTTTTTTTTATAAATATAAAACAACTTTAAAGAAAGCAGAAGTACTAATTCGCGCCTCAATGCTTAGCGAATTATTTTCGGTGCATGCCTGAATAAGCTAAATTAGTCAATTTATAAGCAATACCCAACCAGATTATATAAGAAAAAATTTTTTTGGTACATAATCCCGGATTTATTGTATCACAATATTTATGCTCCTTATCTCCATATGGATGCAAATTACTCCTATTCCTCCCTTCCCCTCATTTTTTATAGTACATTTTCCTATCTACGGTTATGCTATAACACAAATTTTTTAAAAATTATATATTTTTTTTAATCAATATAAAAATTTTCCAGCGATTTGTTATTCATTATAAATAATAATAAATATACTATACTATATATAATAATTTCTAAGAAAAATAATATACGTTATATATAATAAAAAATTCTGTATTGATTTGATGCATTTTATAGTTATAATTTAAAATAATCATTTAATAGAATAAGAGTTTTAAAAAAATATATATTTTACAATGTTAAATAATTTATAAAAAAAGAAATATTATTCGGGCTAAAATGATAAAAAGAGATTTTAGAAAATTTGGAAATAAATTTTTCCACAATTTTTAAAATAATTTAATATATATTTTTTTTAAAATGTTATTCTTTCTTCAACTTGATTAAAAATAGTTTGTAAGACTAATAAAATATATAGAAGTTTATTAACATTATACTCAAAAACATTAAAGAAAGAAATAAAATGTATTTAATATTAGTTAAATAAATGTAGAACATTGTGAAAAATTTTTAAAATGGAGGATTTATAATTTCTAAAATACACTAATTGAGCAATTTATGGTATTTATAAATTATTTTTACTATAAATAATATAAATTAAATTTGGTTGTAGGATATTAGATTATAATTATATATTTTTTTCAAAGTCGGTATATTTTTTTATTCAAATTTTAAAAGAAAGATTAATAGATTTTGACACTACCGCTAATATAAGTTTTTCGTGAATTTTCTGAACTAGGTTTTAAACGAAGAACAATTTTTTTTAAAAAAAGAATTATTTTCTAGGTCAGCTAAAATTTCGCGGGAATTCTAAATTTTTTTAATCTCACCTATCGTGGTGCAATAGATTCTTCAAAAATTATTCATAAACTATATTTTACATGCCCTACTAATAGGTATTAGCTCCTCATCATCATTTTTAAATACGATATAGTGTGCGTATAAGTTAGTAAATATTTAAGTATCGATATCTTTTAACTTGCGCTTAATTTTGGAGAAAGAAAATCTGTCCTTGGGATTAACACTCCAACAATCTCGGACAATCAAGTTGTAAAGCGATTGAGGGCATTCGATGGGTCTGGGTAGACGCCACTGGTCTTTAATCTTATAATCATTCATAGATTTATTCATTTAAATAAAAAGAAGAAAATATATTATATTTAATATATAAACTACAGTCTGCACCCATCCACCCAAGGCCAGTACAATCCATTAGAGATAGGGTTGGACTGGTCCATACCAAAAGTTTTTTGTTTACATGTAAATTCTATTTAAAATCTAAATATTTTATATGTTTATGGAGGAAAATAAAAACAGGTGTTCCGATGCAGAGCTTATATTAAGTTATTTTAAAATAGTTTTATCCAATCCGGTTAGATTCTATCTTTCTCTATTCCAATCATCTTTCTACTTTTTTTAATACATTTATATATATTTTCCTTTATTCTTGAAAAATACACCGTTTTTAAAAGGACACAATGATATTAAAAGGATACTAAGTGGAGGTCACAAAATTATGGGCCGAGCAACTTGGGCGAAAATGTTTTCGGGATGGAGCCAGGCAATAACAAATCTTCACGGGTAAGTTAAGACCTGGCCGACCTCTAATACTATGTGACTAAGAAAATAGTTATATATTCGAGAAGCATATTTTTTTTCTCAGTTCATTATACCAATAATTCGTGTAGGCCCGTGACAAATTTTTGAGGAGTCAATTTGTTGAGAAATTCTTCGAGCTCCATTTGATTTATGTTGGCTGTTATTACGTTCTTTTGTATATTTTCTTAAATTGTATTATAAAAATAGACGAGATTATACAAAATATTTGGGTAATTCCATGAAAAATCACCCAATGTTTCGGACGACCATTTTTTAAATGGTTGAAACTTGGAATGAAGGTTAAATAGATTATATATTTTATAAAAAAAATCAAAGCACTAGCAAAAATGGAACCGAAGTGCCATCTTGGTTTTAAAAATCTCATATACTAGATAAACATTTAGTACAAAGGCACAAATTTTATATTATTTTATAGCCCGTATAATTCTCCTTAGGCTGTGTCCTAAATATCAAAAATTGCATAAAAATTAATTCGCGCAATTTGCGCGAATTTAACGAAAAAAATAATATAAGCCATTTTTAATGGAAAATTAAAATGATGGCCTAAATGATTTTTTCGATTTTGCACAAATCACATGATTCTTAAAAGTTATACGATTCGTAAAACTTTAATCATTTTTTCCTTAAACTTTTACAATTTGAGGGATTAAATGGCGACTGAATATTTATTAATGGAAAATATTAGAAGATATAGATATTTATGAAAATCAGGTATAATTATAAATACATATAAATATTATTTTATATTTTAGGTTCAGGTGCTAATATTTTGAATAGCAAGCAACTCAAATTTATTGAGGATTATTATTGACTAAAAGAAAATGTTGAAGATATTTGTAAGCATTCTGAAGCTAGTTTCAGTTTGAAACTATCTAAGGATTCTATTAACATCCAAGATGTGTTGAATGATCAAACATCACCACATTCACAGGTATTATAACATGAAATTAGAACTATATAATAAACTATGTTTTAGAATGATGAACCTAGTGCACAATATATCTTGAATGATTTAGTTAATACATTTAGTCCTATAGACATGAATATGTCTGAGAATGAAATATTAGAAGTTAAATATTTATTATATATTTTATTAATTTAATGATAGTTAGACAATTCTAATATTGAAAATATTTATCCTTGTTCCTCTAAAAGGAAAAATTTTGAAAAATCTAAAAGAATTAATAAAATTAAAAAATATGATACTGAGAAGATGGATATATTTAAAGGAAAATATTTATTATAAATAACTATTTATTTTTGAAATAGGTTTTGCAAATAAAATATCATATGATGATGATATTCATCATGTTCAGGCATTTTTTAAATCATTCCAAACAACCTTTAATCGAATGACTGAAAAAGAAATATACCAAATGAAAATAAAATTTTTAGAAAATATATCTTTATATATGTAATCTTATATCTTTATTTTTAATACCATATTTATAATATGTTCATATTTTGTATATTTTTCTAATAAAAATTATTATATTTCATTAATCAAACAATTGTTAAAATTATTTATAGATGTTGAGGAATTTATCAACATTCTCAAACAAAGTAGGGCCAATTAATGGAAATTAATGTTTAATCATTAATTAGGTTTTTATTGAAATCTTATGATACTATTAAAAATATAATATTTCATTATATAAATTAACCTTCATGCAATTTTATCTTCATAATATTCATTTAATAACTTTAAAAAAAATTAATGCTAATAATAAAGTAAATTACAACCTATATATCCTGATACACCAGAGTTGTTATGATACTTTTCATATTTATCTAGATAGATACATGGTCTAAAAAGCTTAATATACCAAGATTTATAAATAAAATTTTTTATTTTAATCATGTAAGATGAGTGAAAAATATCAAAATAAAATTTATTCAGTTTGATATTTTATATATAAAAAATTTGTTTAGTTTTCTATATCAAATCCTAAATTATGCTATTATTATTTTTTTTACATAATATTTTATTTCTAAAGATAATATTGGCTGAGAGATAGTAAAATAAATTGCAAGAGTCCTAGGAAAAACATTCAATTAAATTTAGTCATTTATTTAAGCAGTCTTCCTCATTAAATTAATTAAATAACTTTATTCAATATAATCAAAACAACACTTTTTATTGAATATTTATAAATAAATTATATAACTTTGACAAATGAAAACATTCATAAGAGATATAAGGTTATGAGAATTAAAAAATAAATGTATACAAAAATTTTACATATAATTATTTACAAATAAGTTAAATGTTTCTCTGATATTATTAGAGCTCTCATTCCATCACTGGAACTGAGATTGGGTAAAATTTAAAATTGGATATTCTTCATGTACTGGTGTACAATCATTTCCCTCAAGATCAATAATAATATTATGCAAAAGGCAGTCAGCCTTAACTATTTGCATAGTGTTTGTAATATTTGTCTTTGCATATAATGCTATTTTCTAAAGCTCATACCAGTTGTTAAATATCTATAAATATATACAGATTATAAAAAAATAAAATCATCATACATGTATATAGAGACGTTGCTTCATACTAATAGAGTTTTTATGTTTAACTATAGCGGTGTCTATAGACTCCAAATTTATAAGAATGTAGTTGAATGTTTCCACATGCATGTGGAACATCTGACGAAATTTGTCAGGATAAGATGGAATACTATCAAATATTTTAAAAAGTCCTTGATCTCTAGAATTAATACATATAATATAAATAATATCATATATACCGGCCTTCTAAAAATCTATGTCTTCTTCTACGCTCAGTCGTATCAACAAATTCATATCAAACATTTTAAAATTGAAAATAAATGTATGAATCGGGACATGTTTCGTATCTCCCAAATCTCCCATAATTTTTGCGATTCGCAAAAATTTTAAGAAATTTTTTTTTTGATTTAGGACACAGCCTTAAGAAAATATTTTAAATATTTTCAGTTTTAAAGTATTTCCGGTAAAATTAAAAAAATTATATTGAGAAAGGTTTCATTTTAAACGATGAAACTCATCAAATATGTTTATTACTAATATATAAATTTTTGTAATAATTTTGCGAATAAAATTTGGATAAAATTATTATATATTTTATACCACAATAAAAAGAAAATATTATAAATAATTTTAATTTTTATATTCTTTAAAATTATAAAACTAAATAAAATTTAGATTTTTATTTTCTCTTTAATATTTTACTAAATATTTAAATATATTGATAATAAACATATTTGGTGAGTTTCATCGTTTCAAATTAGCCTTTCTTAAATATTTTTTTGTTTAACAGGAAATATAACGATATAGAAGATATTTTTAAAATAATTTAGGAATTTTCTTAGAGTGGATTTTGAGAGCTACAAAATGATATATAAATTGTGACTTTAAACTAAAAATATTTTATATAATTTTAAATTCGTTAAAATAAGAAAAGGTTCTCATTGGACTTTGAGAGCCATTTCAGATTTATTATAGCTAGAACTTTATAATTTTGATTATAAAATACACATACTAGCGTTGTTAAACTGCCCGATTTGAGCCGATTTTTATAAACGACTAACTCAATATTTTATTCAGAAAAATATTATGCAAGCCTTAAGATCTTACTTATAGATGGCACACAGGTTTGGAGAACTATTAACTAAATTTCGAGTTTTAGGCCATATTTTTATGACTAAAATATTGAGTTAGTCGTTTTTAAAATCGGCTCAAATCGAGCCATTTAACACACTAATACATACTATAACCAATATGCTAAGTTTCATTCATTTTAAAAAGGGTAGTCCGAAAATCGCATTATTTAAATCAACATATATGTCATAGAATTACCCATTTTGAATTTTAAAATAAACATAAGGACAAAAATTGTAAGTTATCTTGATATTCCCGAAGTATACTTATTAAATGTATGCAAACCAAAAATCAGTGTAATTAGAGCGCTACTTTTTTTCCAATTATTTATTTTTTTAGAGCACTATCATTTTTATAATTTATTATTTAATTTTAAAAACGAAATTTATATTTTCAATTTGTATTATAAACCTAAATCATCTGGTGTAAATTAATTAAAATGTCATCGCAAATGGATATCCAAATCGTTGTAAGTGAGTCAGACAAATGGAAGGTACCCTGGAAGAAAATGTTCTTGATAACAATAATAAATTTTCCATTTCCAAAATTTGAAAAATATTATCAAATTAATGTAAAAACAAAAGGTGGCTACAAATTTATTTTTTCAAACTGTATAAAAATATATCCTCAAATAAATCTAGTAGCTATAACCTCAAAAAACACCTAAAAGTAATTGTCATTTATAAATTTTAATAGTATTTTTTGAAAAAATGTTCATGCCAACAGTTTTAAAGGGATAGAAAAACATCTTAATAATTTTGGTAAGGGGAGACTACATCTAAAAGACCAATTCAATTCAAGCTAAATTGATTAATAATATTGTGCATGCCAAGTTATTGTCGATTTTATAATTGATACAGTTCAGCCAATGTCGGTTGATAATCCATCATTTACCATGATGATTAAAACTCTCTCCCCTGGGACAACAATTTTTTGTTGCCAGACACTAATGATTGAGATAGCAAACAAAGATTCCCTAGTTTGAACCATAAAAACGACTTCCATTTATAATTTTTTTGAAATAAAGCATATTAATATAATAGAAAATCTTTTAAATGCGTTTTTTTAAATCTAAACATATAAATGAGCATTTTTGATTATTTTTCTTATATTAAAAATATGTATATATAAAATACTGCCTTGCGCTCAAGTGTTGTTGAGAGATTATTTAGCAAGGCGAAACTTATACTTTCTGATCGTCGCATTAGACTTGGGGTGATAGAATAGAAATGATTTTATTATTAAATGCAAAAAAATAAATAAAAATTGAATATTACGATAAATAGTTATTTTTATTATATAAATTATAGTCCTTTTACATAAATTTTTTTATAATTAAAACTAAATATATTTAAATATTTATAAATGATGATTAATTACATTATAAGCAAAAAATAAAACAAATTTATTTCTAAATTTTTTTTATAAAAAGTAGCCAAAGCTACTTTTAAAAAATAATAGCTAATACGGTAGGGCGGTCCTTTTTTGACAAATAGCGATAGAGGTAGCGCGCTCTTTTAAAAGTAGGGTTTAACAACTCTGGTAGTAGGTTAACAATTAAATGGACACCTTATCAAATAGGACCAAGGTAAAAAGGAATGCTTATTGTTCCCTTGCGACGATAAAATTTTGCTTTAAATTACAATTTTGAAACAATGCTTTATAACCTCATTCAATCTACAGAATAAAAAACCTCAGGAATTTTTACTTATATTTATGGTCGAGTTAGTGTTATATATTTCGGAAATTTCAAATTCTCTACTTGACCCTATGCACAAGAAAGTACGGGAAATAACTCAAGTTAATTGTTAATTCGAAGTACACCTTTAGGATATAGAGAACTTATACAAATTTTAAACAATTCTGAGCGATTAATTATTCTAAAAATATCAAAAGAAATAAATTTTACAAGACTAAATATTAATTAAATATAGGGTAGATAAGAATAAAAAATACATCTTTACACCAAATTTAAAATATTTTGCTCTAGGGGTTAACTTTAAAAAGTTACAGCTCTGATTTCTTCTCTAGCTAGCCATTCCGCTCAGTCTCCCCTAATAATCTTTTATATATGATTTAATTTTAATAATAATATAAACTTAGGCGTTCGGTGAAATGCTTGAGAACCAATCGCCTCAGTACTATTTGAAGTGGATTCATGCCATTGCACATGATTTCCCAACAAGTAACGCCGAAACTCCATACATCACTCTTTTGCGTAAATAAAATTCTGCCCTTTTTATTGCTATCGCTATCAACATAACCCTCGTCGATTGGCGAAGATAATTGGAATGATTTGAAAACAGGGTTGTCATTTCCCTGTAAATTTTTAATATAGATTGATTTGGAATTGTGACTGGTATTGCTACTATTGAATGATTGATTTTCCTCATTCGATAAAATATCGACATAATAATGTATCTTATTTGGCGATTGAAATGATTGGTTATCGCCAATATGGTCGCTCGACAATACATCCGGTATGTAATGTTGATTTAGTGCGAACAAAATTTTTCTATCCTTTGCGTGAGTTAATTGATTCATTTTAGGCGATGACTTAGGATCTATATCTTGAGGAGGTTTATCGATTGACTGAATATAGTCTTTTTTTGAATCTTGGGTCTTCCGTAAACTGAAATTATGTTCTCCAATATTTTCTAACATTCTCTGGTCCCCATATTGGGTAGGAATGGTTGAATCAGTTGCATAGCGATCAAGTGGTCTATTTTCACTAGTATAATAGTAATAGTTTTTAAAAGAGGAATCAATCATTTTATTGAAAGTAGGTATCTGATTATTTGTGGCCTTGGAAAAATTGATATTACTAGTATTTGTGGGGTGATTATATTTGGAGAGATAAAAATATTGATTCTCCTCATCGATAACTGGGTCAGTGATTGATAAGGTAGCATTATCTATATATCCGTTGTACAACAACGCATTATGATCTTTGGGGAATAATTTATTTACCAGATTATAGTTAACTCGTGAATGATTTAAGTGATTGTCGAGAAAAATGTATCCATTGTTGTAATTTTCCAAAATTAAATCCTTATCGCTGTCAAGATGATGGCCAGAATAGAATGAGTGATTGACTTTGTTTAAGGGCATATTTTTAGGAAGGAAATCAGTATCGCCGTCAAAATTGTGGTTATTAATTTCAGCGTCATCTGAGTTCTTGCGCAACTCCTGAATACTACTTTGCATATTTTGAGTTTCGGGAATATGAGCATGACTAATTGGTAAATTTTCATGAGAATTAATTTTTTCTGTTACTACCAGATGTGAAAATATATAAGGATCCTGATTATCATTTAAGTCAAAATTGTGAACGGTACCATTCAATAAGTCATCTTTGTCTCCAGGTCTGTCTTCGTTACCTCTCGAAAAGCTTTGAGAATTTTTGGGAATATTTTTGAGATCTACACCCCGTTCCTTACCCACCGAAATATTCTTACGACTCATCGAGAAAGGAATAATTTGAAGAGGAAAGCATTCGGGTGCGAACCAGCACACTGGCAATTCTCGGTTACTACTTTTAGCCTCGTAATATGCCTCATAAAACATGCCCTTTCGGTGGTAATAGTTATAGTTATTATCCTCACGGTTACTGTCCCTTTCGTTAAGTAGTAAGGATTCCTTAAATCGATCGTAAAAATAATCGTTTTCGTCCTGATTAGTTGATTGGTCAGCTATATCAAGATTTGAGCTATAGGATTGGTCAGTTGTATCAATATTTGAGCAATTCTCTTGATCTTTAGATTGGTCAATAATTTGCTCCTCTTTACTCGCCAATTGGTGATTAGCTTTATAACTTGGGGTTAATTCTGAGTGAGGTTCGATCATTTGATTTCTAATCTTTGAATCAATGATAATATTAGATTTTACACCTTTTCCCTTGGAAGGTTTTGATTGCTTGCTTACGGTTAGAAATTTAGCCAAACCAAAGTCGGATATTTTTACGGAGCAGGCATCGTCAGTTACTAAAACGTTGCGAGCAGAGAGATCCCTATGAACTATACCTAAGGTAGTGGTTAGATAGTCCATTCCCTTTAAAAATTATATAATTAAAAATAAATAATTTTTATATTGGCATTCATTCAAATATTATAAACAATTTAATCTATTGGATTGAATACAAATCTTCCATTAGAAATCTCGATAAGACAGCTATGACGTATTTTTTATCTCGTCATTCATTATTATACCGAATGCTGGCTCAATCCTTCTTTCGAAAATTAAAATAAAAGTTTGCAAAATTACGTTGACTATATCGGCTATGTACTTCATCTTGCGTTTCAAATCGATCTTATCATGAAAAGTTCTGAGGAATGAATCCAATGATCCTAATTGCAAGTATTCCATGACCAACTTTTTCACGGGGTAATTAATGATTATGCCCTAATCGTAAAATGATATATAAAACAAAAACATAAATATATAACATTTCAATGAATCAGAATTAAAAAGCGAATCTTTAACTTGGTGTGATACCTTCAAAAATATGCTTGTTAGATTAGATCTTTAAAAAGGAGTAATAATGTAATAGTGGATATCATTATATATGAAAGTTAAATTAGAGTTACCTTAATCTGTATGATATTAGGATGGTTCTGGAAAGGGAAGGAAAACTTCTTCATAATATTGATCTCATTTTCCAGGTCCTGCCGGCTTAAACTGGAAGTTTCGTTATTGCCTTTATCATCGCCCAAAATTTCCATTTTTATTTTCTGTTTTTTGAGAGATTTCACGGCTACCTTTTCGGTAATTAGACCGTACCGGTTCCATTCGGCGAGCCACACTTCACCGAAATTCCCCTTATTTTAGAGAAAAATAAATAAGATGAGAAACATCTGCAGTTCTAGTAGAACAAACTTAATGATGTTTTGTGAAGGGGATTATAAATATTTTTTATATTTTTTGAGTCTAATTTCTTCTTTAAAAATTTTATCTCTCAAAAGCAGATGTGAAATATGAGTGATGTTATTTACAGTTTGGATGACTATAAAGAAAAACTCGTATTAATGAAAATTATTTGTTGGCGAGTTAGTGTCAAGCGAAGGGTTGGTGATTCGATTCCCGACAGAACCCATTTTTATGGATTTCTTAAAGGTTAGGGTTAAAAGTATGGCTGTACCGATCCATAAATACAAATTAATTACCGATCCGAAATTCATACAAAATGATCCGATAAACGTATTTAGATTTTTATTTAAAATAAATAAATATTTTCTATGCAAAAAAAAATTATGGGCAAGACATGAACCACTTCAAGATTTTCCGTTTCTCAGACCAAGGCGATATTTGGTGCATTTTCGTAGCGAATGATAAATAAATCTTTTTTTTTTATTTTCTAAAAATTAATCATCTCATTTAAAATATGTGTTTAGGCTGAATGTGACTAGTTAAAATATTTTCTTGTGGCAAATAATATAAAAAGATCAGATTTTCACTATTTTATTTAAAATAGTTCTATTTTTATAAAACATATATAAATTACATTTTTGTGCCTTTCATTTAATCATTATTACTAAAAGTGTAAATTAAAAAATCTAATATAAATACATACACAATCACAAATAACCAAAAACAGTTATAATATCAGATGGGCTTTTTTGAAAACATGGTTCAATCGTAATCAATTTTTTTTAAATGATAAATATCGATCCCGATTGGCATTGGAGACCCGAAAGTTGGGTCGGATTATTGTAATTAATTTTTATTTCGGGTTGGAAAAATATTTTTTGCCTGCTGGTTGGGTCAAAAACTTATCTTGCAAGTCTCTAATAGGCAAGGCCCTAGTCAACAAATATAAAAAGGGTTTAACCAAATTTTGTAAATATCATCACCCAATAAATAGAGAATAAAATACATCACTTATAACACCATGAAAGGAAAGATTTTTGAAAATAAGATTATAATAAAAATAAATAGATATTTCTATGGTTATATAATACGAAAAACGTTTCTGTTACTTTGGGATTAAAAGAATTAAATGAATACTACCCTATACTGACAATTCATTTATTAAAAGTATACAGACATTGAAGTCCGCGTAACCCATAGTATTGGGTATAAAAGACGCCATTTGATATTATTTAGCCTAAATGTCGTATAACTGTCTTTCAATGGTGGTGTACTTCAATGTATATATACTTTTAATTAGTTTTAACAAGGCCGCTTTAGAAAAAGCGCATTCCCACTTTATTAAAAGGAACGCCGCGTTTTAGCCTTCTTTTGATTTAAATTTTCATTATATAAAGTACACAACCTGAAAAAAATTGAATAATATAAATTTTTTATAATCTCATATTTGCTTTTAAAAAGAGCAAATTTTCTAAATTTAAATTTGACAAGTCGCCACTCTTTTCGCCACAATCTGTTTAGTAAGCCTAAAGAAGCGGCGCTCAACAGAAGATTGTATTTTATAAAACTATTTTTTGAATCGTTATAATTACCAAATATATTTATTATGGTATTGTTTATTAAAAAGATCTGTTAGGTATATTATATTCATAATAATCTGTTCGATTGAAACAAAAAAAATCTTCTAAATCATTGGAGATATTTTCTGTGTAATTGTACGTATTTTTATATTAGGAATTTGTTTTCTAATAATATTAATTTATTTATTTTTAATTCCCTATTTTGATCTCTGCTTATCTATTCCCAATTCGATTGAACACGGGATGGATAATATCATCATTATAAACAGTTTAAAATCTGCAATAAAGTTATAATAAATAATGACTTATATTATAAAATTATAAAACTTTTATCAATGCCGCATATATAAGAGACTCTATAAGAGGTTGGTTGCACAATACTTTTATTTTGAAGAGTTTAGAAATAGTTAAAATTATAAAACCTAAAATGAAGCCCACTTTCAAGATCTTTACCAAAAAGTCCTTAACCTGAAATTTATTCATTTCAAAAAAAAACAACGATATTGATATTTATTTGGCTATATTCTTTACATTTACGTTCTTGAGTTAAAGCGTATAAGTCTTATATGTTATGGCATAAATTATCAAGATTTTTACGTTTTTTGCATATTTTATCTAACATTACCTGAATTCATAATATGAATACCATATTGTAGTATTTGAACATATCAAATATCTTCAATATTTTTATTATATTATCAGCCATTGCTGATAGATTTTCTTTATAAGGACTCACGTTTGAAATGAGCTTTGGGATATAATTTTTAATTATCTATTTTATAAAGCTTTCTCCACATCAACGGTGGGCCCTAAATTGATATTTTAGCAGACACAGCGTGAATGTTGTGGTAGATAATCACAACTTTCTTCTCTGGTCATGATATCATCGAAATCCACAAGTTGCTATATCCATCTTACAACTTTTATACTCAAACATTTAACTTCTTTTAAAAAAGAAAAATATTATTTTTAGAATGGAAATTTTATTTAATCCATATTAATATCTTCTATATCTGTTAATAACATGATATAGTTTTCCGTGATTTTTATATTTTATAATTTGAATTTAAAAAATGGCAAAAAGATAAATAAATAACAACTCGGTTCAACTTTTAATTAAATAGTTGTATATATCAAAATAAATATATATTATTTTTATTGTATTCAAGAAATCTAACATTATTTTTTAAACAATTTATGCAATAAAATTATGGCGCTTATTCCAAAAAAGGGGCTAGTTCCCACTCTCTCTCCAAATTTATGAAAATAATCGCTCCAGATGTTTTTAAAAATAAGTAGCGGCCATGGAACTCTGCTTTATATGCACCGAAATGCATATATGAATCGTCAGTCCAAATTAGTGCTAATTCCAATTATTTAGGATCATAAAAAGACCTTATAAAGATTTTTAAATAGATATATTTGTTTTAAACCTATTGAGTATCTTAAAATTAAAATTTGTGATTATCCCAAAGTAGATTTTAAGGAATAAATTGAGAAGGTAAAAAAAACTAAATTATGTAATACATGAAACAAGATTGGAAAAGATTATTTTAGTTTTTTGGGGCACTTAAAAGTAAGATGAAAAAAAATTCTAAAGCAGCTATTACTTCACCCAGCTTCCTAAAGTATTTAATTTCCTTCTTCTCATCAATAATCCATTGATCTCTTATATTGTTAACACTGTAGGAATCCACACTACTGCCCCCAAGATAATCGCCTGTTTTATCTATCTCATTCTTATTAATCGACTTATCGTAGACAAGTTCCTTCCTACCATGCTCCATCTCTTCTTTACTATCAGCTATTTTGTAACCGCCTATCCCGTCAGCTGCAGTAATAGAGCCATCGGACGGTGTTCCTTTGCAAGTTTCAACGTTAATTATCGAAGGTAAAAGAGTTTGGGGAAGTTTAGCCAATTTTATTAATTTCGTCGTTGTAGTGGAAAAGATTTTTTGGAAAAACTTTGTGGCTACCTGGTTCGTTTTTGTAAAGGTTGTGTTAAGTTTATTGACAGAAGCGATAGATTTGACGTTTAGTTTATTCGTTTCAAGGTCACCGCCGTTACCCTTGGTTTTTCTAAATTTCGAGATTTTGGGGAGTGATTCGATCTGCCCGACCTTATTATCGTCTATATTACTATCTTTGCCATGGCCCTCTTGAGATTCAAATCGATTGAAATCGTTAAATTTATCGAAATCGTAAGAATTATAATCTTTTCGAACTTGATCTTCGGCCAAATAGTTTAAATTTTGAGTCAAACTACCGTGAGCCTTTAATTTGCTTTCGAAAGATTCGTCATTTTTAGGCAATGGACTCCTATAATCAAAAACGTAAGTAGATTCCGTCATATTCAGAGAGGAATTATCATCATTATATTGCTCACCGCCAAGGTCATCAGGTATAATTACCTTCATCTCTAATCCTATCAAGGGCTTACCTAATTTTGAAGATCTACACCGTAAATTCCTGGACGAGATTCTTTTCAAGGGTAAAAGGGATGAAGGGCGCTTTGGCGAAGGATGATAAAGGGACAAGAGCAGTTCCTGATCGTCCAATAGATAATTATTATCAATATCGGAAGAATTTGTTGAATTAGTGGAAAATTTACGTTGTTGAGTATTATTATTAGTATTATTGCTAAAAGATCTTTCCCTAAAACAATTTTTCTTACCAAATGAAAAACGCGGCCGTGGTTGGTAGATATAGATGTCATCATTGGCATGGCCAAAACCTTATAATAATGTATGTTTAAATTTAATTTAAAAAATTATATATAGTATAGGAAGAAATATTGTGATGAAGCTTTATAATAATAATAAAAAATTCAAAGAAAGTTGAAAATGGTAACCCCTTTGAATGGTATCAAGTGACAAGGAAGTTAAATGAGCATCTGATTCAATCATGGGATTCATTGCATAAAAATGATGATCGAATACGTAATTGTCCTCGGAACAAGGGATAGATGGATTAAAGTAAGAAGGGGATGTCATTTGTCCGCAAGATCTATAAGGAAAATATAAGATATTTTATAATAATATACAATTTAATAACTAAGTATTTGGAGATCAGTTTTAAAATTTTATAAATATGAAAATTCTATTGGGAAAAAATTCCCGGACAGGATCGGTGAAATGATCTTTGGTTCATTTAATACAAGAACCAGAAGTAATCCGAGGTTTAACTTGAACGAACTTTTATAATTTCAATTGAGCAATAATTCTACCTATTTTTAAATGGGACAAATCAAGCTTATATATTGTATTTAAATCAGAGACCTGCAGGGGTACCATTTGCATGGCCCGGTCCAGATTTTTTTTAAATATTTTATTTCAGCCCGGCCCAGATTTTATATTTCAAAGAGGATTATTTTGAAAAAAATTTCGGCCCGGCATGGATTTATTAAAAATATATTATATTTATTTTTATAGCGATTTAAAATATATAGCCCGGCCTGGGTATATTATTTTAAAAAAAATTCAGCCCGGGTATATTTAAAAAAATTAAAATACGGCCTGACCCGTGTATTCGGGCCGAGCTTAGGGTCGGGTTTGCAGGTTTCTGATTTGAATGGACCTGGTTTTTAATTTCTTAATTGAAATCTACCATTTTTTTATAGAAAAATTATGCATTTTCCCTGGCAAGTTATTAAGGGCTAGATTATTTTTATTTCCAATTTTTTAAACCAATCATTCCCGTATTTATAATGAAAATATTAAATTTTTCAGAAACAGTATCCGAATTGTAACCTTTCTCCCGATTCTTTACTTTCGATCATAAACTTTCGGTCATTTTGCATTTTTTTCTTGGAATTGACAGTTGTGTCGTTATTCGTATTACCTTTTTATTAGATATTTAGCAGTTTACTTCCTAATAAAAAATTGAACCATTTTTTTTACATTTAAAAATAGTAAATAATTATATTAAGGGACAAGTATTAGAGGAAAATAGACAGTTATTTTTATTTCTCAATTTTTATAGTTTTGACTTTTAAAATTTAAATTATTTATAAAAATAATTGTCATTTCTTGTTCGAGGATATCCTTAAGACTAAATATAATTTCTTAATTATTGAGGTTCCATGGATATAAAAAATATTAATATCATATCTTAGTAGCAAACAATATTATAAATTCGATTTGGCAATTATTTAAATGTACCTCCCAAAATAAATTCGACCTTTTTGGGGCTGTAAACATAATCCCCGTCGCCATCTTTTTTAGAGGTTACGGGGTCGACAAGTAAGAATTCTTCGCCTAGCAGGGTATCGTATGTATTACTCTGATCGGCGAACGAGTAATCGCGCGGAAAAAATGCGATGTTTGGACCTATTTGGTTGTCAAATAAGTGGAGACCATTTTTCAAGGTTTTAACGCGGGAGTTTAAGACGGAATAAAATATTTGGTGCACATCCCTTACCTATCATAAAAAAAAATTATCATTTTCTTTATTATTTTCTATTTCTTTCTTTCTCTCTTAATAAAAAAATTGTCCGTGCATACCAGTTCTTGTATTTTGATTCGAAGATTGATGTCCTTATTCCAGCATTTTAGCATCACATAATACAATTGATCTGGGCAGTTTTTTGGCTGAGGTAACCGTTTACCTATTAAAAGATCGATTCAAGAGATCAGATCAAGCTAAAAATTATAAAACCTTCAATTATCCTTCTCTTAAAAGACCTCTCCCTTATTTCTCCATTTCCCTTTTCCATCGAAGTTTTAGGAAGCAACTCAATATATGGGTCGACTCGCGCGAAATTCAGGGTCTCCCATATTGTAGTTCCGAAGGCCCATACGTCGGAGGTGTGGGATGGATGATTTTTTAAAAGAAATGTGCGGGAGAATTGTTCGGGGGGGATGTAAGGTAAACTTTTTTAAAAAATAATAATATAAATATATGGTAGTCTCTCATCTCTTTAAGTGTATGAGAGATCTTTTAAAATTCGTATATTTCATAAATATGATTTCCCTAATTGATACAGTTCAAAAATCTAGGTAGCGCTAAGATTATTGGCGCTCATTTAAAAAACCCAATTAACTTAGACCAAAATCTAAATAATTAACTAAAAAAGGAAATCAAAATAAATGTATAAGAACCAAAATTAGGCGGTATCTAAATCTAATTTTGGAGATGCACCCCGCGCGCTATACCACTGGCCTAACATTTATGTTGTTTCTTTAATGATTGATTATTTATAAGGGTGTCAAATTTTTGCATCTCAAAGTTAATTAAATGTAAAATCAGCAATTATTACATAGAAATTATTTTTGTTTAATAATAAATAATTGCTATAAAAACTCCGAGCCCAAATCTTTATTTTAGACCGGAATCTAGTATATATTAACATAACATAGTAACAACCTGTCCTATTTCGAATAAAGTAATTTATTAATTATTATTAACAAAAATTTTTTATTTATATACTTTACCTAGAGGATGCAATATTTTTAAGTGGAATTTCGGTGTTTTTCGTCTGTTTCGAACCCGTATCGTTTTCTCCTGCTTTAATAAAAAAAAACAATTTAATTTATTATTAAAACGTGTTTGTTAAATAACTTGTTAAGGTATACCCAAATTAAAAAATAACGCCGATTTTACATTTTGTCTCTTTTACCAAACTATGGTAGTTATATTTTGACCTACATGATTTTAATTGGTAATTTAAGGTTTGATTTTATAATCTATTTTGGATGGCTAATTTCTAAGTTATAACCCAATTTATTTCAAAAATAACGCCGTTTTTAAATTTCATGTTTTAGTCATTATTTTAAATGGTCATACCTAATGTTAGAATGGGTAAGATTGTCTGCTTTTGAACATCTACAAAAACAAGGTTAAATTTTAGTTTTTCAAAATTATGTCTAAATTTTAATTTCAAATGACTCATAGAATTCCAATTAATCCAATTACCTGGGAGAAAATTCTTGATTTACATGAAGAAAGAATGGCTTAAACAACCTTAAATGAAAAACTACACCTAAGCAAAGAAAATATTAAAAAATTAATTGATCCCGTCAAATCTGCTTTCAATAGCCTCAAAGCCAAAGGTATTCAGGGATAAACGCAGTTTGCAATGAATTATCAGAGAAGATCGCGGATCAAATTTTATTCATTTAACTCAAAATTGAGAGAAACGACAAAAATAGACTTTATCTTCTACCTCCAAAAGAATGATTTATTTTTTGGGTTATAAATTTTATACCGTAACAGTTTAGTTTAATGATACTAAGATAAAATCTCTTAAAAAAATATCTATTACCAGTTAACCAAAAGAACGATACTTTTTCGCAAAAAAATACAGATCGGACCTGGTCAAAAGTTATTTTAGACTCTAGGTCTAAGTTTGTATTGGAACTTGAGAGTATTCATAATAATGTAATACACAAGGCAAATGAATCATTCCATTCTAATAAATTAAAAGTATTTGGAAAAATTAAGTATCTTAGAGCTGCCATTCGAGACAATACCTAGTAGTCATTAAATCTAAAGGAGACGTCTCTAACCTTTGACCTAACTATATTCATCTTTGAATCAAGATGGTAAATTTGTTTATGCTATAGCTCTTGTATTCAACCTATCTAAAAATAAGCCTAGTTAATAGGCGCAATTATATATATATTTAATATTATACATGACAATAAATAAAATATTTCATCCTATCTTAATAAAGTTTTAATATTGCAGCATTGCATCCGGAAAGCAAAAACCGGCGTTATTTTTTATTTTAAGTAGTACAACTTATAAGTAATGAATAAAAAAAAACAAGATTAACGGGTTTTAGATTATTGAAGTTTATTATTTTGTCTATTGGTTTATAACAGGGACATAGAATGAAACTTTGAGTAAATTTATGGAAAGGAACGAGTAATTCGAAATCTTCCCGGACCGTTTCTAAAAATATATAAATTTATTATTTATTTCTATAATTAAAAAAATAAAAAATAATAATCCATATAACCAGGTGCAAATTCCTTTTATATTCTTTTACAATTTTTTTTTATAATAAATAATCAATTCTATCAACAATAAAAAATTTTCGAGCGGATCGTTTAAATAAATCAAAAGCTAGAATACTAGGAATCCAATAAAATAAATTATCCTATCCTGTATGAATCGGTCCAAATCGAATTAGCAACTCCATGTAGCCAGGTAATTGTTAATCGTTGTTTTTCGACATTCAAATTTATATTAACACCATAAAAAACCAATATAAATTATAATCTTTTAGAAAATATATTATTGCTTCGATATAAATAATTGATTCATTTAGTGATTAAATAAAGATTAATTAAAATATATAAATTTTAAAAATATATTTCGATATTTTTCTAGAAGCGTTCCGGAAAGTTTCGAAAGCTGAAACGGAACAATTTTTTGACACCAGAACGAAAAAAGAACGCAAAAATGCCCTTATTCCGGGTATCGGTTTATATCTCAATGTTGATATGATAGTCCAATAATTAAATGTAAATAAAATATAATTTTGTATACATAAATGATACCATTTATTAATCAAAAAACAATAATAAAATAGACTATGTTTACCAAATAGTATAAAGTGAAATGGGCATTAAATACATGTCAATAGGGACATGAGTGGAATCTATAAATCTAGGCATCACCCTTCCTTATAAAATGGTTATATTAATATCTGCGAAGGAATATATAATGAATATAAGAAAACCAGGGCACTATTAAATACCATAAATGTTTTACAATATATGAAATAAACCTTTGTAGTCCCGTCTGCAATTAGTAGAAGCAGAAGAGGAAACAATGAGTGGATCCGATAATTTAATCCCGAATTTTCCTGAACCAGAACATAAGGCAGTATTGAATGAGGAAGAAGTATTAGTATCATTTTTAGGGTAGACATATATATTGGCCGGTCTTATCTGGCCGTGAGGCAGTTTGATTTCCTCCAAGTACCAAAGGGCCTTTGAGATGGAACTGCAGGCTTCGAGCAATTCGCAGATGTCTAGAGTGGAAGCGTGGCTTTGTAAGTAGATGTCCCATGGGCCTAGAGGCATAGGTTCGGTTACAACCTAAAATTGTTTTAAAAAATGACAAAAATACCTTAAAATATTGTAAAATAAAAAAATTGACACATAAGTGAGTTTTTTAAAAATTAGAGCAACTTGCCTAATTTAAGCCTTTAAAAAATAGGATAATTTTCTTGTTTGATAAATTTGGTCATTAAGCGATTTCTTTTTGTTCACTCACTACCCTCCTTAAAATATTTGTTGTTATATATTAGCATTATGATAAGATGGATTGGGAGAAGTTTTAATGTTTTATAAACCATAACGGTAGAGTTGGGAAGCTAAGTTTTAAAGAAAAATTTTTTTATATAATTGACCTTGAGCCATACTAATATTGAAGAATTGGTGAGAGATATATAGTTTATATAGATATCTTTTATTAGATTCATCATTAATAATCATAGCGTCTGGATATAAATATGTTTTATTAGTTTTATCATTATATCTTAATAATAAAGAGCATCGCATAATATTCCGAGTGAATTAAAATATGAATTATATTTTATGCTTTTTATTATCAACTAGTCATCGTCCTAATTTATAATATTAATTTAACATGAAATAAAAAAACAATCGTTTTACAGTGTTAATCATTAACAGTCGCTCGCAGTGTTAATAAAATTATATAACAAACTATTAAATTAAAAAATCATAGGTTACTTTATGGTAAAAATAATTCTTTTTTTTAAATATTATTATTTATTTTTCTTTTTTTATTATTGTTAAAAACATGACATATCAACAAATATCCACGATGAGGTATATATATATAAGACAAGACGTAAATTTATTAGTGTGGAATTGGTATAAAAGATAACTGATATAACTGGGTTCCAGGGAGACATATTGAAAGTTTCTATATAGATTTTTTCTAAGAAAGGGAAATTCTTTTAGTTCATTTAAAAATGCCTATATTTTATTGCTTGATAGAATTTCAAATATAAGTTTGAGTTTAAAAATAACCATTTGTGGATAGAACAATTGGAATTAACATCAATTATATCACCTCTTTATTTACCTATCATGATTTAAGTCTTGTAAGTCAGGAGAAAAAACTCAATTTAGTGTAAGCGCAAAAAAGAAAGCGAGATATTAGCTCCCCGTAATGACTATATACCAGCCAAACGCATTGCTGGCCAACACTCCGGCCGTTGTTGGACGGGTTCTAAAATGAAATTCTGGATACGACATTGCCTCGAGGTAATATAAAAATTGATATATTTCTGAAATTAACTAAACTATGATTAGCCATTTTTGGAAGGAGAAGGGATGAAATATAGTTTCATAGAAGGATTCTATTTATGAAAACTTTCGAGAGAGAGAGAGAGAGAAAAAAACGGAAGAAAATAGAAAAAAATTTAAAAAAAGGTTTTTGAATAATATTAAAATAGCACTTTTAACTATATAGTAAGAACTTCGTCCATCAAAAGTTAGATTTCATGAGATTTTTTTAAAAAAAATTTTTTTGCATCTTTTAAAAAAATCATAAATTTAAGGAAGCGGCAATTTCTAAGAAGAATTTTTTAAATTGAAATATTAAGGGCCATGTGATCAAAAAATTATTATATAGACAAATCCTAACCCAAATCAAGCCATAAGAGATCCAATAAAAATAGGTAATGTGAACAACAAGCCTTAGATCCAATAAAATGAGAGAATGAGAAATGACTAACAAAAATAGCAAATTTTTAAGATCCATTGACGATATTTATTTGCTTGGATATTAAAAAAATCAATTTTACTTGTCCACAAAGATATTCTTTTCTTAATTTCTAATTATTTTGTTATCTATTTTTATTTTTTATATCTACCAACCATTAAAGGGTGCAAGCATATTGCGTATATTTTGACAATGGTAGGGTCATTTAAAAAGGCGTATGAATTCATCATTTTGAGTAATTGGCTTAAGTCTTGGTCTTTATTCGATTTTCTAATGAATAACATATTAATAATATTAAATATAAGTGAATGAATGAAAAAATAAATTACTTTGAATTGGTTTGGTCGCTTAAAGGTGCTATGCATTTAACGGAAACGGGAATCCTGTTATATTTATCTCTGTTCCAATAAACACCGGGTATCAAAGAATCACTCGATTTCACTGGATTAAAAATAATATAAGCAGAAAATTATTCCGATTTTAAAAATTAGTGGCATATTTATTGAGTAGCCAATTAGATGAAATGACTGGCTCATTGTAAAGTTGTATATTTACTGAAATTATAATATGTAAAATAAGTGTGATAGATGTTGATGAAGGACAACGATCCCCGTTTCTTGACCAAACTGCGTCTATTGATGGACCATAAACAGGTCATTTTATATGCGCTTAGTTCATCCTTGTATTTGGGCTAGGGGTCTGTAATAAGCGGAGTTATAACCCGAAAGCATGCCTGTCTCGGTCTAAAACCCACCCGTTGCAGACCTCTAATTTGGGTATGAATAAACACAAGCATAAACAAATTTTCATTTATAACTGCTTTCGAGTTATTTTTCTTTGATGAATTACCAAATTTTATTCGTTTCAGAAACTAAAATGTTATTTTAAAAATCTCGACCATGGCAAAATATTTGTTTGAAATCCGGTCCGGACTTTAAAATGAGGGGAAATTAAATTCGAGCCGGGCCTAAAAATTTGTCCTCTATGTCTCAGATATTTTTTTTAAATAAAATTTTTAAACTTCATTTTATTAACCCCAACGAAAGAGAAAAGTCTATTAAAAATATTTAAATTGTAAAAAATAAACTACGTAGTAAGAAATAATTCCAAAATATAAATTTTAATTAATATTTTAAAAATTTAATTATTTTTTCAGATGTAAATTATATATAATTTTATTACTAGAGGATCCAAAAGCAAAAAATCTTCAGCTAAATAAAAATTTGGCTATCCAAAACTTTAAATTAAAAATTAATGAGGTACAAAAATAAATTACCCTCTAAGCAAATTTAAATCGTTATTGCAGATTATTATGAAAATTATTGTCGCCCGAAATAAATTCTAAAAAAGAATCCACGTTAGGGGATTTGGATTGAATCGAACAGTTAAAACGGAATATTTTATAATTTCCCAAACCGTGACTGAACCTTTATATCAAATTATTAAAAAAGGGCAAGAATTTTTTTTTGAAAATTGAAGAAGCATTTCCTTGGGGAACTTTTAATAAGGGCTAAAGAAATTTGAACCAATCAAAATTATATTAGTAAAATTTATTTAACAACTATAAATACATAAACATTGCAGATATTTTAAATAAGATTATCAAATTATTTTAAAAAACACATAATACACTTAATAATTTATGGAAGTTAGTTTTGTTATTTTTCGAATAGAAAATATTAATTTTTATGACATTGAATCTAAGATAGATGGCAAATAAAAAATTTAAATATCGAATCGGTATCAGTTACCATAGGTTTTAATAATATTGAAAAATATCGGAATAGGAGAAAAATTTGTGTATAGGCACAGCCTTAATTATTTTTTAGTATTTTTGACCATTATAATGAGAATTTTGAAGCGATTATGATCGGATGTCCTTCCAGGCATCAACACCTTAAGGTGGCTTTTACAATCTTTTGAGGAAAACGGTGATTACATTTTATCCCAGTTCAAAAATTAGCCACCCGGAGACATTGCTACCCTCCCCCCATGTTAGACAGAATTTTGGGGGAGAAAAAAGTGGGGGAAAAGGATCATAGAAGAAACTGGCTTACCGTGTAAACCTGGAAAACCCCCATTAAACGATAAAGAAGAATTGTTGTTAGTGGAAAAAAATAATATTTAATAACGATACGTTTGTTAATTTCTTCGCCAATAATATTTTAGCATATCATCTGAGAATTAAAAAATTAATAAAAGTGAAAAAAAATATAGAAATCTTATTGAAAATGTATATAATTTTAAATTATAGTGTTTTTTAAATAAAATAATTTTATTTATCTATCAAGCCTCCATTCAGTCAATTAATATGTATATATTTCAGTCAAATCACGTAATCAGTTAATTTTCATTCACGTATTATTGGCAGTATGGGCCCATCTAGATCACGATTAGGCCGACCTCTTTTAGAATTGTAAAAAGTTCTGGAATTATTTAGATAGGCAAAAAAGATGAGAAAGCCATTTATTTAAGCTCGCTTACACACATGGTTGCCGAGATACAGAGCCTCAAAGGGGAAAAATAGCGACTTTAGAATCTGTTTAAAATGTTTATATCTCAAAAACTACTTATAGTAAAAAAAAATTATTATATCATATTTGTAAAAAAATCTCTATACGTCTAACGAAAGAAAAAAAAATTGTGTTTTTAAGGAATTGGTTTAGAAAAAATAAATTGCCTTTTATTAAGACACTATAAATATATATACGATGTGAAAACCTTGATGACGCTATCGAATCTTCCCAAATATGCATTTTATCAAAAATTAAAGTATTTTGTATAAAATAGATGGCGCTTTATGAAACTATGGATTATGGTTAAAATTCTGTTGCTAACTTACCGATAACGGGATATTTTCACTTTTTATACTAAAATAGTTAATTTAATAAGATATATTGGCTTTGTGATATAAATATTTATTTTACTGTTCTGCGACTATATATGATACGTATAATTATTTTTCTTTATATAAGCTAACGTAAAATTATATAAAAGATATACAAATAATCACATATTATTATTCACTCTACTTACATAAAATACTACTGATATTCTTAATTCTAAGCCAATCCCTACAAAATCAAAGTGCTCTTAAAGACTTTGGGCCTTAAGTTCATCTAAAAATATTGTGGTTGAGGCCACTAAAAAATATAAACTTTTCGAGACGATTGATAAACATATGGCGGTAAGTATTATAGACAGTTTGGATAATTTATCCTATCAGCAAATGTAATTCAAAAAAAAGTTGAAAGAATAAGATTACTAGAATATTTGAACTTTTTAATTCCAAACCAGTTAAAATGGAGTCTTCCTGGGAATATTTGGATCGGCTCAAAGGTTGTGGTTCAAGGCTGAATATGGAATTTATTTCGATACAATTCATGATCAACTGTCGTAATGAAAAACTTAAAGTAAAACTGATAGAGGAAAATACGATGGATTTGAACATTATTGATGATAGTGGTCAAATGTCAATCGACGGAAGTTGCAGATAATAAAATCGGTGCAGAGAAAGATTCATGGAGAAGAGAGGATGAGGTAAATAGCAAGGAAATACGGAATGGAGAGACAATAAATATGTATATAAAGGGGCTGACAACAGCAGCAAGAAACAAGAGATAATACAGATACAGTTTAATCTAAGGCTTAGAAATGAGATCAATTATATTAATGATTTTATTATTATTCGATAAAATAATTTTAATTTTCGTTTATGATAGATACTGGATATCCAGTGACATCCTTGCCTATCAATGATTTTGAATTTATGAAACATTGAATTGAATAGTTGTTCCAGAAAATTATTCACTTATGAAGGTTCATTCATAGTCGTTAGACAAAAGTTATCAACATAAATTTTTCAACTTTTAACAATCTTTTTACATATAAGGATAATAAATATGCTAATTTTTTAAGCCACAGTAAAGGGAATGTGTGGAATGTGCCCCGTATAATTCCTGCGCTCGCATGGTATGGTACTTAAGACGTCGCATGGTATATTACTGAAACTAGAGCCGCTTATTAAAAGAAAAATTGATGATTAATCACGGCATGAAAACAATTGCCGTATATTCCTGAGCTCGCGTGGTGTGTTACTAAAGACAAAGAACTGCTTATTCAAAAAAAAAAAATTTTGTCAATAGTATGACAATTCATAGTATATAAGTGTATTATTATATTGTAAGTTAGAAATGTAATATATATTTAATCCATAATAAGAAATTATACGATTAATTATAATAAATTAGTTTATTAAGGCCTTTTGTAATATATTTAAAGTTAACCCATTATAAGGAAATATTATTAAATTACAATTTTAATATCAATTAGCCAGTGTAGTTTATAGTTTTTTTTAAGTTAAAATTATAATTATGAAAAAATATTATGAATAGCTACATTGACTCCTCCCCACACCTTTTCTATGATTTGTTTGTACTAATTACTGTTATTTCATCCCTTACCCAATATAATGTAACAATTTATTACAAAAATCTCACCCCCGGATGCTAGAGTCATATTTTTTTTTGTTTTTTTTTATTTTAACCGATGCATATCCTATATATTTAATATATAGTATGTTTATTTATTTAACAACAAAAAAAGTGAATATACCAATTTAAAATGATATATTAGCTCTGTGATATAAATGTTTATTTTACTGTTCTGCGGCTTACGATATATAATTATTTTTCATGTTATATAAGTAAACGTAAAATTATATAAAAGAAAAAAAATAATTATATATTATTAAATAAAATACTACTGATATTAATTCTGAGTCAATCCTTACAATAAATTAAATTTTAAATAGATACATGTTATATGTACATTTATTTCTCATAATAAATCTGCATTATTATTCGAGTGAAATGTTATATTTAATATTTGCGATTCTGTTGAATTTGAATAAAATTTAACTTCAATTTTATCCTGAGAAATTTAAAAATATTAAATTTTTGCGTTTCTGGTAATGGTGGCACTTTATTGATCTATCTTCTAATATGATTCTCTTTTTCTTCCATAATATAGGGGAAATTTATTTCCCAATAAAAATTTTTTTTATGTATATATATATATATATAATAATAATAATAATAATAAATTAGAAATCTTATGCTTTTAATGTTTTCCTTAGAATAGGAAAAAACTCTTTAGGACAAATTATTTGTTCTAAAACATGTCTTGTAAACTAGCCCTGGCCACTAAACGTTTGATTGTATCTCCAACTCCATCACAAGTCGATTTGCCATGAGATGAGGCCCAGAAATGCCACTCAGCCTTTATTCCGAAATTCACTTCATGGATGTAAAGATTGATTAAATTTTTGTGATTCTTATATTGTGATGCTGCTCCATCTGAAAAGTAGACGAACATTTTTGAGCGACCTTAAATTTCTCTGTTAAGTAGCGAACTAAATATTTTTAGAATAAATGAAGGGCAAATTGCATTATGACTGAGAGATTCCGATATTATTACTTAATTTAAATGATTTAAATTACCAGGTGTCTTGTAATAATTCACAAAAGGATGAATGGTAATTTGGGCTTTATTCCAGTGAAATCGTTGTACTTCATCTTCAACCACAAAAGCCTAATTTTCAGCAAAGTCTGTTTGAACGATATATTCTCCTTTATTTAAATTCATTTTAATAGAATTTATGCCTTAAAAGGTTTATGCAATTTAAAAATTTTAAAGGTGCGGATATTTTCATTTTTCGCATCTTTGAAGCTCTGTATCTCGATAACCAGTGTTTAGCGAGCTAAAATAAATGGCTTTTTTTATCGATCTAAATAATTACAGCAAATTTTAAGAATTTTAAAAAAGGGTCGGCCGTAAATGAGACTGGCTCAAAAATTCGAAATATTTTAAAATAAAAATGAGACCTGCAGGCCAGGCCTTAAGCGCGGGCCATATTTTAATTTTTAAAATATAAGCGAGCCGGGCCAAAAATATTTTTTAAAAAAATACCCGAGCTGAGCCGTAAATATTTAAACCGAATATTTAAATTGCCACTATTAGCTATAAAAATAAAAAAAATGTAATATATTCTTAAAAAATCCGGCCAGGTCATGCAAATGGTACCTCTGAAGATCTCTGACAAAAATATCCTGTTATTGGTGAATTAGCGACAAAATTTAAGCCATGATCGAAGTTTCGTAGAGTGTCATATATTTATGCAAACTAAATTTCCAAATTTTGGTAAAATTGCATATTTCGGAAGAGCCTATAGTGCCTCCAAAGTTTTCAATATATATATTTAAAAAAGGTGTCTAAATAAAAGGCATTTTTTTCTTATGATAGATCTTTTTACCTACAATATGATATATCATATTTATTTTACTATAAATAGTTTTTGAGATAAAAGAATTTCAAAAATTTTAAAGATTCGAAAGTAATTATATCGCATCTTTCAGGCCCTATATCTCGGAACCAGATATGCTAGCGAGCTGAAATAAACGGTTTTCTCATTTTTTTACCTATTTAAATCCAGAAATTTTTAACAGTTTTTAAAAGAGGTAGGCCAAAAATGTGCCTTTTTTGATTGAATTGACATGAAATGAATGGCCCGTTTTTTAATTAAAAATGTGTTCAAATTTCAAGATAAATATTATCTAAAATTTATAGGATAGGTATTCTACACTTATACACATATTGCAATATGTTTTTGGCAAAACAGATTATTAAAATGTAATAAAAAGCTTTAAATAAATCGTGCTATTTACTTACAGCACTTGTAGAATACCTAGAAATTTTAGATAATTTAGTAAGAATTAGGCGATCTGATTAAGGTATTACGCCTATTACTGGTCATGTGATTTGACTAAATATTATATTCGACATTTATTTAATCATAAATTTACAGCACTTGTAGAATACCTAGAAATTTTAGATAATTTAGTAAGAATTAGGCGATCTGATTAAGGTATTACGCCTATTACTGGTCATGTGATTTAACTAAATATTATATTCTACATTTATTTAATCATAAATTATACCAAATTTATCCACTATAGTATTCCGAGAATATTCCCTTTGCATGGATATATAATCTGGGGAATCACTTTCGAACCCTTCCTTAATCTTGACCGGCCCCTCATTATCCACTCTGGGTGGGTCAAGGTTGCTCAAAATACATGCATCATTATGGCCGTTATGTAGCGAGTCGGTTCTTTTATGGTCTATGGATGGAAAGGTGAGGTCTGAAAGGGTTATGCACATGACCTGACAGTTCGAGAACTTAGTGGAGAGAGCATTTGGGTGTAAATAATCATCATCGTTATCGAAAGTGAGACCAGAATTCCGCTGGTCGAAGGAAGCGGACGGACACTTGATACAAGGTTTGCATATATATAAGTTAGGCGTGGTGTCATAATCGGAAGGCGGTAAGCAGTGAGAAAATTTGATTTCCCTACACTGGCGACTGGAATAGTAAGTTAGCAATCGCTTGAGAGACGTAAATTTGAGGTTAGAGTTCTCGAACCTCCAGAAGTCTTGTTGTGTTGCCGTCGTCGTGGGAGATGACACATGATTAGTTAAAGGAAAAGGTTCCAACTTTTTAGGATAAAAAATACCTACGGAGGACATCGAATAATCGGTATGAATACTATCCGGGTGTAAGATGGATTTTCTTCCATCGGTCGTAATGAAGTAGCCATTAGAAATTTGTGTAGCAGGACTTGATAAAGTCTCCACATTCGTAGAAATTGCGCAGTCTGTTGTGACGATTGGTAATACTTCTTTGGTCGTTAGGGCCTGTTTTGTAGGAGCAACTTGCGATGATAATGTATCGTTTAAAAACAAGCTATTCCTGTGATTAATACCTTCCACGGAAGGTGAATTAACCTTTTTCAGAGGTTTTTCCGACTGAGCGTTTTGTACATCTTTAGGTGATAATACATTCAATTTAATAACATTTGAAGTTAAATTTGTACCAAAATCGGGAACTCCGTTGGTAACTTCGGTAGGAGATATCGACCCTATTTTGGAATATTCTGAACTATTACTTTGAAGAAGGGATGGCCTTTGGGAACAGTTAAAATGGGCAGAGGTGCTAGGTAAGTAGGAGTAAGTAGAGGAATCCTTCTTAAGTTTGATTTTGGGTTTTAGAAAATCGGGTTTTTCGTTAACTGCATTTTTTAGTTATGGGAGAAAAATATATTTAAAAATATCAATTTTAGGATAATTGATTTAGAAATCATTTGCCTTGCATCACATTGTCACAAAAAAAAAATTTTTAAATGACATTTTCCGTTTTATCAAAAAAAAATCTGCAAAATTAATCTTTCCTTAAGGACTAATAATCAAGATTAGAAAACAAAACATAAAAATGATATGTAAAGTAATACATAATTTTAATAATATAGTAAAAAGCAGAGTTGTTAAAGTAGCGCGCTAACTTTTTTGGTAGCTATAGCTAATAGAGGCTACTTTTTTTGTAATTATTTAATTTTTTAGCGCGCTACTTTTTTTGAAAGTAGCTAAGTAGCCGCTACTTCACTACTTTTAAAAAATATAATGAATGTAAGTATAAACATGAAAATTTAAATATAATATCATAATTAATTATAATTTTTATGATTTATTATTTAATTTTGAAATTGAAATATAATTTCAATTTGTAATTTATATTTTCATTTGTATTATAAACCTATCACGTGTTAATAATTTAAAATGTCATCGCCTATGAATATCCAAATCGTTGAGTGATTCAGACAATGATATTAATGAAATGGAAGATAACAGGGAAGAAAATGTTCTTAATAGCTATAATACAAATTTCCCATTCCCTAGATTTGAAAATTTTTTTAAATAAATATATAACCAAAACTGGTTTCAAATTTATTTGTTTAAAATGTAAAAAAAATATTTCCTCAAATCAATCATAAGCTATAACCTCAAGAAACACCTAAAGGTAAATTGTCATTTTTACATTCTAATAATATTTATTTTATAAGACTGTTCATGAGTTTTAAGGAAATGGAGAAACATCTAAATAATTTTGGTATAGGCAACTCTACATCACTAATTCAATTCAAACCAAATTAATTAATAATGCAAATGACAATATTTCTCAGAAATTGGTTGATAAAGTTATTGTTGATTTTATAATTTATACTATACAGTTCAGCCAATGTCCTTAGTTGATAATCCATCATTTACCATGATTATTAAAACTCTATCCCCTGATACAACAATTATATGCCGCCAGACACTAATGAATAAAATAGCAGATAACTTTAAAATGATGAAAGATGCTCTAGTAGAGTTATCAGAGATATCATATATATGTACCACGGGAGATAGTTGGGCACATAACAGAAGGTAAAAACTTATTTATATTTATAAATTGATCTGATTAAATATTTTTGAGCTTATTTGGGAATCACAAGCCATTAGCTAGATTCTAGGACTTTAAAAAGAAGATATGTGGCATTAGTCCTCAAAATGATAATAAGATGCCAGACATACGATATACTTGCAAATAAAATTATTGAAATCTATCTTATATTAAAAATATGTATATAAGATTAAATACGCCCTTACCCTCAAGTGCTAGTGTCGAGAGATTATTTAGTAAGGCAAAACTTATACTTTCTGATCGTCGCTCTAGACTTGGGGATGATAATATTGAAATGATTTTATTATTAAAATGCAACAAATTACCATAAATATTTATTTTTATTACATAAATTTTTTTATAATCAAAACTAACTATATTTTAATATTTATAAATGTTGATTTTTATATATTTACTATATAATAACATTACAAGCCAAAAATGAAAAATTTGTTTGTAAATTTTTTTTATAAAAAGTAGCTTAAAAAGTAAATAGTAGCTAATAGCGAGCTACTTTTTTTGACAAATAGCGATAGCGGTAGTGCGCTACTTTTTTTAACAAATAGCGATAGCGGTAGCGCGCTACTTCTAAAAGTAGCGTTTAACAACTCTGGTAAAAAGATAAAAAAAAAAAAATTTTAATTTTCTTTTAAAACATCAAACCATGGTTCTATATATATTATAATATTTTTAAAAAAATGCTTAGCGTGACATAATTTATTCATATTTCATAAAATTTAAAAGGGGGTTGGTTACCTACCATTTAAAGTTCAAGTGAAAATTAAAAATTGTGTAAGTATAAAGGTAATAATTTCGCAAATTTATAAGTGGAATGATTTATTTGTTTACTATCGATTAATCTAATCGGGATAGGATTGTAATATATTTTATGTATTTCTTTTTCCTTGTGGATATATTAGGTGATGTAGTAAACTTTTAAGGTGGACATCATATGCCGTAGTCTATCAAATTCAGGATCATGTTTCATAACACTGCTTAAATCATTTTTTACAGAATTTTTTATTCTTTCTTTCTTTTAATTTTTCAATTTGGAAATAATATATAATTTTTTAAGAATCGTATTTTAGCATGTAATGTATAGTTAGTTACCTACCCTATCAATTTAAAACGATTTGGCTGTTAATTTTTGTGTATTTCTTTAAAATCTATTCAAAAAATCTATATATAAATAAAGAGAAGGTCAAAGTTCATTGAAAAATTTTCTGAAATTCGTAGAGTAGATATTCAATTCAGCAAAATCAGGTACATTCTAAAATTATAAAAAGCGCGCTAAAATTGATTTAAATTTTTTAAATAAACTTGTTAAAATCCCAGTTTTGTTAAACGCCATATCTACCCCTATCCCTTCAGCCAAAGATGATTTAGCCCCTACCACCTCAATCAAAATTAACAAAAAAAATGGAAACCCAAATTAAACTCCTCTTCAATTTTTGACGATCTCGCATCATGCCCCCTCCCCGTGGTAGTTCTTGTTTTCTTTTTAAATACCTTATATTTAGACATCTTTATTCTATTTATTTTTTCAAAAATATTGTCCAAAATCAGAAGAGGAAAAATTATCGCAAACTTTAATGAAAATAGAGAATGACTTTTTTAAATGATTTTCTAAATATTTAAAAAATTTAATCATAAAATATTGCATTAAAAATAATAAAATTTTCGAAATTTTTAAATCTTTTCCAACAAGCTTTGAATACAAGCATGAAAAAAATAAATGAATCTGAATAGATAAGAAAAAAATGTTATATGTTGAATTTTGGGGCTATGCTTCATTGATCCGAGTTTTAAATAAATATTTTAAAGCTTAAATCATTTATAGCGCTTTTTGAAAATACCTATATTTTGACAAAATCGTATTCAATTTTGTGCCATTTTAATTTATATGAATATCAATATTGTTTGAATTAACTGCCTAGATACTCTGTACATGTTAACCTGGAAAACGATTCTGGCAAAATATTGTCCTTGAAAATTTTTTTTTAAAAAAAACGCTTCAAAGATTTGCTTACCAAAAATCTTATAAGCCCTATCGTTCTGTCTATCTTATCATACTTTCTTTTATTATTTTAATATAATAAAGAAGCCATGAAAAATATGTTTCTGATGTACACCCCCTTGCCTTTTTTTACTTTAAAAAATATATATGATGGTATGGCAAACTTAATATGATGGATTTGTTTCGTTCGGTAGAACCCGGCCCGGCGCTGATGTCTAATTGGTACCGATCGAAAGTGCAAGATTGTCTGATCATGAATGAGCCAGGTCTGTTCCTACTTTTTTCTTTAAGTTTTCTCAGCACAAAACGATCACTATGACGGAAGAAGAACAATATAAAAAAAATTGAGATATAAATAAAAAAATTACAAAAAAATAATAAATATAAAAGGATCATAAGAAAAATCGAAGAAAAATAAAATTGGTTTTAAAAAATACCTATAAATAAGAAATAAAACAGCAATAGAAATTATTTATTTTTTATAAAATCTATAAAATGAGGCTTAACTCAACTGGCCCATGGCAATTGAGGCTTTTTAATTTTTGCAAAAGAGGAGAATAGCAATCTGTGCACAAATTAAAAGTGAATTTCTGGGACAGTCTGTAGTAGCCGTCTAGTAAGCTCACGAAGGATTGAAGATATAATTGAGAACCAAATTTTAGGTACTAAAATATCATTTTGTAAATGGTGAAAGAATATTATCATTATTCTAATATAATTAACAAAAGTAAAATTTTGAAATTCAAAGACATTTTTTTTTAGAATTTTAATTTTTTTAAATTTTTTTGATTTAAAACAAACATTTTTACATGTCTAAATATCATATTTGATATCTAGTGTTATAAACAAACGCGTTCACTAAAAATTCGTTTTTTTTGAAAAAACATGGTTGAACGTTCCTTTAATTTTGAACAATTGAACGTCGTGAACGAATTCGTTTTTATCTAACGAATTCGTTCGTTTTTTATGTTCATTAATTTAAAAAAAAGAAAGGATTTTATTTTCCTACTCACCTGTTTGCTTCCTTTCTAACTATCTAATATTGATGGTTTATATTTTATTATGCTTAAAATTTATAAATTAATTTATAGATAGATGTATCTGACAGTTTTGACTTAAATTGATGATATATCTTGACAGGGTCTAAATAAGCATTTTAATTTTTTAAAAACCATTACTAGAAAGTGAAGATAATATGCTATGCATTGGCGTATTTGACGCTTAAGACAATAATAATGATTAATCAAATTAAAATAAATTACAAGTTTAACTTATAACAACTGAAGCGATTGATAACATCAAAATCAATTAAACTAATTTATATTTTAATTTTTTTAGATTTAGGCATAGATGATAGAATATATTATTTTTTCCATAATACATTCGTTATTTAAACTCAAATGGTCTTAGACAAGGGTTTAACGAATGATATAATTAAATAAGATAGTATCATATTTAAAACTTAAAAAACTAGAAATGTAGAAGCTTAAGAACAGAGTCTATTCTGAAATTCTTCTTTTTTTTAATGAAGAATTGGTGGATTCTGTAGATGATTGTCTATAGAATTTTTTAAAGCCAAGGGATAAATCATTATTTCGATAAATTTTCAGAAATATGATCTTTTTCTATCAAATATAACACTGCAACCTTCCTCAGCTCCAGTGAAACGCGTTTATAGCGTAGAAAGATCAGAGGCAGCTATAAAACGCTTTGGCTTATTGGATGAAAGTTTTGAAAGACTTCTTATTAAAAATAATTTAAATAAATTTAAATCGTATTTTGTTGTTTTATATTTTTATACACAAGATAAAATTAATAAATCCAATGGCTAATATGGTGTTATTTAGTATTTATTTAAATATTAAATAATGAATGTGAATGCATTAGGGTTCGCAAAAATCGGGATTTTTTATTTAAATTGCGATTTTTTTTGATATAAATCGCATTTAACCCAAATAAAAATAATTTTAATTAAAGAACTATAGGCTAAGATTGTAAAATATTGTTTTTTATTACAGTTTAATATTATCTTGCAAGTAATAGCTAACCCTCGAGGGAACAAGTCAGGAAATTGTTGAAAAATTAAATAATGATATGTTGTAATTCTATATTTTTTTTTAAAATAAAGAGCCGATTATATATAATATACAGTTTATTTTTAAAAAAAATTAACTATCAATTGTTAGTTATAGTAGAATTTTCTAATTCAAATAAAGATGCCAAATGAAATTTAATTTTTTTCAAACAAAATTAGCTATTGCTATTTCTCAACCGGTTAATAATTAACCTAATTTATATAACTCTTAATGGTTGTAAGAATTTGCAAAAGTTTCACCACCTTTCATGCTAATAAAAAAATAAGTAGTAATCAACTTTCATCCTTTGCTAAACGATCCAATCAAACTTTAACTCTTGCACGCTTCTTATCCTACCTTTTAAACCCGAAATATCGTTCAAATTTAACAACCAATGAAATGGAAACGGCAATGGAATACAGGAAGATTCTGTATCCAAACACTGACATTTTATCTATCTTGGTAAAGTTTCAAGCAAGATGAAAACCATTTACTAAAATTATGTTTTTGGATAGTATAGTAAATAAAGTAGACCAATTGAATGGTGGGTGACCCAAGGAAATTTAATAAAGAATATAAATATCCCAAAAATAATAAAACAGCTATTTACCGCATCTTCATCATTCACTTCAGTCGAGTGAGCATTCTCATCGTTTGGGGTGATTCACTCAAAGCTTAGAAATCGTATAGGAACAGAAAAGGGTGAATTAGTTTTTTTTATTTAAGCAATTAAATTCTAATAACAATGTCGACGATATAGATATTACTTATGATTTTTAATATGTTTTTTCTTAATTTTAGAAACTAATTTATTATATTTTTATTATAAAGAAATAAAAAAAATCTTTAAATATGGATAGATTTTCAATAGCTTCGTTTTATATTTAGAATTTTGAATAATTTCTTACTATTGTGATTAGGATCAGCAGTTATTTTTCTACTATGTCAAAAATTGAAATAGAAAATAAACTTTTTTGTTTAAAAAGTGGTGAATACTAGTGCAATTTGGTTATTTAATTAAGATCTCACTTATCAAAGACCTTATCTTTAACTATTTTAAATTTTGATTTATATAATTGATTTTAAAAGTTATTTAAATCGCAATTCAAAACAAATTGATCTAAATTGGCTAGCCCTAGAATGCATCAACCAATTTGAATGAGAACATATTCGATTTTTTGCTAATGAAGGATGATTTTTTTATAAAAATGTTAACAGCACTAATATTATCTTACAACCAGTGATTTTTAATAAAATAAATTTTACGATTTAAAATATATATTTACACATTTTTTAACATTTAATGTTTGATTTTATAAAATTTTCGTGTTAAAAGAATACCAAAATTAAAATATTAATTTATTACTCCTGCAAAAATTGAATTTATAATTTTTAATTAGATATAATTGTACTTAATTAATTTTATAATAAATTCATTTTAAGGTTAAAATATTCTTACTCATTTTTGTTGGTCATAAAAAAGGTGATTAATTAGATGTGAGATTAAAAGAAAGAATAGGACTTATATGTTTCTAATCATAAATTATAAAGAATAATTGTTTTATCTCTTAGGAAACATCAACTAAAAATAAGAAAACAGATTTGAAATGATAATGCCTGAATTTATGCCTAAATAAATTTTTAAGGTTGATAAATATATATAAAAAATGTTTGTTCACCCACTCTCCCAACATCATCGTTTAAGTTTAAGACTCAAATTATATTAAAACCTTGATGATATCTAAATATATAAATCAAAAACTATGAGTTTACAAATAATAATAAATTTATTTATGATAATATTAATAATTGAGATCAAAAATTTAATTTAATTCTCTTAAATATGAAATAACTGACTCTCAGTGGTTTACAAAACTACTATTTAAATTACCATATAATTAAAAGAATAAAAAAGCCTGGATCAGATCTAAAACTAAACTCAAAAGTGGGAGTGGGTGCTTATAAATAGATCAGGCACATAGGTCCCTAATAAGCCTAAAATAATGTTTCACATTCACATATCAATTAAAAATATACCAAAGGAATGCCATTTTTCCTAGAAATCTCGATAGAATTAACAGAATTAATTGTTATAAAACATAGCTGCGACACATTACATAAATTAATACATGAAGTTTTTGCATGATCCGGTTTAAATTTTAGAGCACGCTCATCTGTGTGCTCAAGGTACACCGTTCCTTTCTGCTCAATGTTCTTATTGGCTCCATACAACAAGCATTCATACTTTTCTAAAAAATATTCAGGAACCTTTAAAAGAGTTTCCAGGTATTTCTCCTGTATTAAATAAAATTAATAATTTGATAAATTAACTTTTATGATATATTTTTTTTAACATCTAAACTAAATAAATGAGACATAAAATATGTATACCTCATAAAAGTAATTATTGTGATGATTGTCTTGTAATTCATAATTAAAACTAGTCAAAGCATTTTTAAGAGCTTTTTTGCCAGATATAAGTAATCTCAATCTATTATAAGGTGAACCAAATAAATCAACTGGAATAAAGTCCTTGTAATCCTCTATATGTTCTTTACTATCGCCACTGGATGATAAACTACTACTTTTTTGAAAAATTTGATGCTTAGCATGATTATTATCGGTAGAAACATTAAGATTATATATTGATTGATTATGGTGTTGTCTCAGTCTTAGTATATCAGTTACTGCCAGCCCCAAACAATCACTTATCTTGAGTGAAGCAACATTAGCAATGAGAGAATGAACAAAATCATACCTTACTTGTTGAAATAGATAATTAAAGGCAACCAAGTCCAAATTCATCAAATGGTACAGAGAAGTGGGCAGAAATCTTAATCGAAAGTATATGTCTAATTTTTTCTTATTAGTATGTTTAAAATTTTTGGGTTTCACTATTTGATTATTAATAGCTATGACTTGATTATGTGTAACTAATGGTGGTATAATGTTATCAAAACTTAAGAATTGAGGAGATAACAAATTTTGGCATGGTGAAATCCATAATAAATGCGAAGGAATATGCAATGCAAAAAGATAAAAACAATGTGTACCTATTCCCAGATTTTTTGCTATATCTCTGCAAATATCTTCCGAATAAATGGGAAATTTCAAAGATTCTTCACACTGTTGAACTAATCTGGGTAGATCATATTCTAAAGTTTCACCAGTGTATAAATGAATTTTAAAAATATTATTTTTATATTTCGATTTTTTGCTTTCTTTTTCTTGACCATTATATGATATACGAGGTTTACATAAAATATTCCTCACCATTTAAGGTTACATTGATATGATAACACATTTCTCCGAAAATCTTAAGATTGATTTCATAAATATATCACTTGACAGGTTACAAGTGTATAAATTTGGGAGAAACTCGGGAAAATTTTTAATAATATTTTTAATATTTTTTTTATTTAATAATAATAAATATGCGATCTAAGCGTGGAAATTTTTTGATGTAATAACAAAGTTTCATTACTCAAAAGTTTTAAGAATTTCATATTTTTTTTCTTGTGAAAATTTTCACAATTTTAATTTTACATTTTATTATATATGATATTAAGATTATGTGATAAAACATTTAAAATATAAATTATATATACAATATTATATATATTAGTAATAAGGAGAAAAAAACAAAAAGAGAGAAATAGAGAAATAGAGAAATAGAGAATATTATATAAAAATTTTAACAAGGCATGTGCTATAATCAAATACCAGATATTTGAGCAATTACTTTTATAAACATAATATATAAAATTTATATAGATAATAATTTTAAGGAAAATTGATCTATATAAATTTTTATCATATAAAAATTTAATTAATTTACTTAAATTTGACATGTGTTTAATATTACAAAAATAAGAATATGCACATTTATATAAATGAGAGGAAGATTTTCTTCCAGTTCTGGGGATGCTCGCCTTAAGATCCCTTCATAAACGCTCAATATGTTGAGAATGGGTATATATATCATTTAGGACTATAAAGTTTCTGCTGTAATTGACCGAGTAATGATCATATCCATTTTCATTAAGATTGTTATAAATTGAAAAAATATTAAATTTTAAGATTTGTGCCATCGCATATTTTTTATTTTCTAATAAAAAAAAGTTTAAAAAAATATTTAAAAAAATAAATAAAAAATAATATTAAAAATTTTCCCGAATTTCAGTGAGTTTCTAATTTTGATATTATATTATTATAAATAATGTGTTTTATGGAAATATATATGTCTGAAATGACAATTGTGGAAAAAAATAAACTATTGTAAAATGGAACCTTACATTTACCGTATACATTTTAAAGAGCATTTTGTAGAATATAATAAAATAATAACTATAAATAAAAAAGTGAGTCAAATGGCATAATCTCGTAACTCAGCTGAAAACCTGGCCCTTGTGAACCCTTAGTTCACAAAAAAAATTTCTCCTATGATTTAATTTTGACCTGGTAACTTTACCTTCTACACCTATTTCAATGGTATAAATTTAGAATAGATATAATATACATCTATCTAATAACCCCATTACTTTAAAAGACACAGATGCCTAATATTCCATGGCATTATCAAAGATTTAACATTCCAGCTAATAAAATATATGTTAAGTAATCTAGAATATTAGATGAGTTACATCATTCAAGCGCCTAGCCAACGGTGGGGGGGGGGGGGGGGTGAAGTAGTGAAAAATCTCCCACCCCCGTAGCAAATTTTTTTGAAGAAATATAAAAGAGCTTAGACATGTAACCAGCGGCAGGGGAGTGGGAGGAAGGGATAAATCCTTTGCCCCCTAGCAAAAGTTTGTAAAAAATATAAAAGGGCTTCATGAATTGTGAATTGCAAAATATTCTATTTCAAATAGATTTTATTCTTAGCAAAAAGTTAAAATTAGTTTATATATTTATTTCCAGAGGTTAAAAGATACTTTTTAAATGGATCTAGATATAGATACACCGCCTAAAATGTTATCTAGATACATGTTTGATTTAAAAAATGTATCTAGATAAATATATAATTTAACAAATGTATCTAGATACAGGTACAATTTTTATTATACTTTATATAAGGTTTGCATAAATATACATTAGTATTCTATTGTGAAAATTCATAAAATGAGCTAAAAATTTTATTGTCTCGATATCACTCCCATCTTCCTTAAACACTGGAGTTAACGGACTGGCCCAACGTATATATTTTAGGGGCTCATTTATTTTGTCCTGAATTCACCTATTTAGTTCTTTACTAATTATGACTCTAGAGTACGGTACTCTTCTTGACGGTATTATTCCTGGTATGGCATCTTGCCTTAAACGAAGTTTGATCTTGGGTTTATTAATAGGTTTATTGGTCATTTTTAATTCGCAATTTCATACAAGTTTAGTAAGTTTATCATTATAATAATCATCATCTATATTTCCTACAAATAAAAAATATTATTGAAAGCATTTCGCCAAATTCTGCCAAGTAATGAACTCTTATTGCTATTGACAACAATAGCTTGCAAATTATTAGTTACTCCTTCGTAATTTACATTGATTTGCATTGTACCTAATTTTAATTTGATTGTAGACATAACCTATTAATTTTAAATTAGATTTCTTCACTTCATTAATGCTTGCATTCTTAGCTATCGAACTGGGTAATAGCAAATCTGTATCCCGTGTCGACCTGCATGATTCTTGTAAAATTGTTTAATTTCAAAGTCACTTTATACGCGTTGTTATCTTTGCTGTAGAAATCTTCAGTCATGTTATTTATGCTTATATTTATTAAGTCAAAATCTTTTTTTCTATAGTTTTATCAACCACTTCGATATTAACTGTGTTTATTGCCATATTCTTTCTGATTTCTAGTATTCAAGACAAGTTATTTCTGTTGTAGTCGTGATGTGATCGGTTATCATATGGTTGATTTGTATTTTGTCTGTAGTATATTGTTTTGACTTTGTTGTGAATTATTATTATAATTAATATCTAAATTGTTGCATGTTATTATTGAACCTTTGATTATACCTGTCAAAATTACACAATTTCCGTTGATTGAATTTGTGATTATTAGTTTCATGACTTGGGTAATTTCTTTGCAAATAGCATAAGGTCTGTATTAAGTATCGAATCTGTTCTGATTATTATATCTGTTAATGACGATGTATATGGTAGTTGTTTTGGATGTAAAATTTTTGACTGTCAAATTGTGTCGTGGAGCCCCTTGTTGAACATAATTATTATCATATAATACCAATTGTTTATTATCTTGTTTACTACTGTTTCTCATCTGACGTCTTCTTGGTATCTATGAAAAGTTTTATCTCTGATTCAGCTTCTGGTTTCCTCCAAGCCTAAGGTATCTAGTTTAGTAAGAGATTTTTGAAAAATAATATTTGTGTCGATATCTTCTAACTCACTGCCTATTTTTATTATCTAATCTATTTTGTCCAAATCTTTAATTTAAAATTTAATGTCGTTAGATACATATTTTGATTTTCTCTATAGCTCTATCCTCTGTAAAATGCTTAACTGGCAAATTTTAGTCCCCCATTTTATATTTCTCATCCTTAGATTCATTCTCGTTATATAATTCCTAAATGTTACTGATCACATTTTTTGAGGTAAAATATTATATATTTTTATCATAGAATCATTATTATTGAATTCCGCCTCAGAGTTTATGGATTGTAGTTTTATGTATATGTTATCAGGAAGATTCTAGGTTAGAATATAAACTTTACCGTTGATTTTTTATTTAAATGCTTACTAAATATATCTAGGTAAATGTTAATATCTCCAACAAATTTAGGGAATGTCCCGTCATCATCTTTAACTTTTGACATTATAAAAAAAATTTATATTATGATTGCTTTATTTTAAGATTTATCATTTTTCGCTTCATATGTATACTTTATTTATTTGTTTTTATTTAATTTTATGTATATTTGTACAAGTGAGTTTCTCTTTCTTTAATTTACAGTGTCCTTTTCTAAAATATTAAGTTCAATGTTCAAAAAATATTTTTGCATTGACCTTTAAAGGTTGAAAAATACCTATCTTCCTTTATATATTTTTTTTTATTCATTAACCCTTCAATACTTTTGTGGGGTATATGAAACCCCAGGCATGCTAGAAATGATATTACATAAAAACGGTTAAATATTATGATCTGGATTCTTCAGTAGCTTCATCAAATATATCTTAGAATCTATATTTTTTATATATTTTGGTTGAGTAGTTTTTAGGATATAAGCATTTTGTGACTGATTGGGGTTTGTGAGAACCCACCAGAGTAAATTTGTAATTTTTTAATAAATATTTTTTTAAAAAAATTTTTAAATTATAAATATATACTACTATATTATAAAATTTATTAAAACAAAATTTTAATATCTTATATTTTGAATGAGATATATGAAAAAGAAAACGTAAAGATTTTCTCTGGTGGAGTTATTTTATTATTATTTTTCACCAGCTGACTCATTTCTCAATTTATTTTTATCATTTATAATGATTTCAAATTCTGAAACAAAATATATAATTATTTAAGATGTAATATCATTTTATTTGAGGTAATTATGACAATATAATTAATAATGAGGATGAAGATTTTATAAAAGATAGTGATCATGATTAGGGTTGCGAGGTCAAAATTTTCAAATTGCGGGAGAAATTTGGTATTTTGCTGGAGAAATATGAAAATGGCGGGAGAAATATGAAAATTGCCTGAGAAATGTGAAAATTGCGGGAGAAATATGAAAATTGCGGGAGAAATAAAAAATTTAGACAAAATGTAGGGACTGGGTTCTAGGCTAATCGCCCGTCAGCGTTTCGCAACACTAAGCCTAGCCTTTATTAAAATTATTTTATATATTTATTATGTAACGATATATAACGGGCGATTAATCGAGCTCCTTAGCCGATGCCTAATTTTTGAATAATTAGTTTTCGCCTATTTTTATGCTAAGCCTAATTATGCTTAGCCGATTTTTTAACCTAAAAACGTTTCTCACCGTTTTGGAATTGCCTAAAATTAACCGATTGCGCAACATTAAGGGTGGGTATTCTACACTTATTCAGGTGAATTTCTGGCAAAATCAGATTTTTAAATTTAATAAAACGCACTCAATTAATGATTTTAAATGCAAATAATAACAAAAAATAAAACAATACCCATCAAACTATCGCCTTAACAAAATTAAGTTTAGTTAAAAGATCACTATCTAATATTCACAGGGTAGGCAGGGAAGACCAGGGGGTGGTTGGATCAATTTCTGTCA